ATCCAACGTCTTTTCTTGATGTTATAAACTTCTTGGTAAACTTAATAGGCTACAAAAATATCTCCAACATGGGGCTACAAAAGATTTATTAATTTTAAAAAAAATTCAAACACCAGAAACGCTCCGTTCTCTAAAGTATAAAAGAATATATACTTCGCAGGTAATAAATAGAGAAAGATTTCTATAGCATTTTTGTGGTACAATTGCAAACTAAAACTCAATACCGGCTGCTGCTTTTCAGCGAGCATTCTTTTCAAATTTAAGAACGAGCAAAAATGTTGCATACGTTATCCGATCAGTTTAGACGACACGAAAGCAATTCATGGTGAAAATCACAAAGTTTTCCCATAATTTTTTTTGATTTATGACGAGGTGATTAGGTCATTGATGAGATTATGCGGCACCTGTTTTGCCTCACTCGCCTTATAGTCCAGACCTCGACCTGACCCATACCCCGTTTTACTACCATTTGTTCCGGTCTTGGTTTAATGTTTTTTTTTTACATAAGGCGCACAATCCAAAAAAACAAAATATTACAACTCAGAAAATCTTGAGAACATTCGTATACAAGTACTGAATTCTTATTTATACATATGTACGAGTATACATGTTTGTTTCTGATCTGGCATAGCTCGCATTGTTCACTTAATTAACTTCAATTAGGCGCATTTCGAGAATGTTTGCACAAACTATTAGGTTATATCATACCCACACTTCGATTAATTAATAGTATTTAAAGGCCACACGAACAAAAAAAATTTCCGGTTATAATATGGGCAGCAACTCCTCACAAGCATACCACTACTTATTATCTCGCAGTTTACGACGATTTCAGCGAAATGGAGTTAATTATCGGTAAATTCACTAATATGCATACATATAAATGTGCGATAGGCTATACATATATACAAGTATGTATATAAACCTATTTGCATGCTAACACGCAAAACTATTGGTTAGCGTTTGTTAATATGACTTATATGCTTTTGTATATACATACACGAGTATAAACATACACAGATGTGGAGTTTGGTATATCAACTTAATTAAAACTACATTGATTGACCACAAAGCCGATGCTGGAAAAACCAAAGCTTAGCATCCAACATAATTGCGCCGTTGTTGGTGTCCAGCTGATGTTTGAATTATGAATATATGAATGCGGTTGCATATGTATAAAGGCTGCAAATATACAACTATGCTTTTGACTTGATTTCATGCCTATAATGACAAGGGTCTTTGCATTTTGCTCAACATTTTGTATAGTTTCTAAAGATAAATCTGATTACGACCAAATTTGAAAATTTTCAAAGCCCATTTGTTAGTTTTTGAGTTTATAATAAAAAAAACTTATTGTATTACAAACTTCCTACCGAGTACTTTCAGATGCTGATAACGAAAAGAAGTGTAAAATTCTTCCATGAGCTTTTTCTGAATTCTTATGGAGCTATAGATAAAGCAGTTAACAGTGGTAGTTTTTACTGCTGATTCTCCAGTAATTTTCCTCCATATTGAAGAATGATGGCAAATAGAATTACACAGTATTTGAATCAATGAATTCTTATTTATATTTTGCTGAGTCTATCCCAAGCTCAGTTTTGTTGAAAATTGCACATTCTTCATTTCAACAAATTAATAATTTATTTGCCAATTTCATCTTAGCAAGAGATATTCAAATTCTCGGTTGTGGCAAACTATTGAAAATGTTGTATTACCATAATTAAATATCAAAATTTTTAGAACAAGAAATCAAAACCAAAAAATAAAAATTGAACAACATGACGATATACGCAGAGAGAAGCTAACAACAACTGCAATCTAATAATTGCAATTCATTTTATAATTTCAAAATAAATACCCGCCTAACCAACTTAACCAGTACTTCATTCTACCTGTTTGCGATAGAATTTCAGCCAATACTGAAATATTAACCAACCAAGAGCATGAAACCAAATTTATGCAACAAAAATAACAATCAAAACCAATTTAATTGGGCTGGAGTAAATAACTGCAACAAAAAATCTAATTTATAAATCAAAATAGTGTACAGACGAGATGAGTTGATTTACACATGTCCGTCTGTTTGTACATACGCGAAGCAGTCCTACAGTTTTTGAGATATAACTCTGAAATTTTATCATTAGTAATTTCGTACTTAAAAAACTTCTCAGATAATTTTGTGCTTGCTGACTCAGTATTGTTTGAGCACGCGTCAAAGATGGGCATCTTTAAAGAGAAATTACGCCATATTTTATAGTATTTCTCCGCTCTAATTGTTAAAATCTTTATTCGGAATTATAATTCGAGCAATAGTTGGACCGGCTGAGGAAAGCAATCGCCCAGAAGTGGCTAGTAGGAGAAGGGTTGTATGCCATCAGGACAAACTTTGAGAACTTGGTTAACAGGTTCTTATGCATTCACCCTATAATTCAGACATGTTTTTGTACATGGTGAATGAATTTATAAGTAAAAATCAAAACCTTGTAAAAATTGACTAACCCAGTTTTTGTCAGGCGGAATGACAGCTTCTATCACAGTGGCCGAATAATACCTTCAATTTCATAAAATTTTCACTACAATAGTATTCTTAATTTCTCAAAAGAATTCATCAATCAGTATTTATAATAAACTCTTTTTGCAATTTTGTTGCTATTATTTCATTTTCAATTATTTTGCCAAACATGCCATAAATTATGTTACACAGTGTAAACCGACTGGGCTGAATTTTCAGTTCGCGAATTAATAAAAGTGTGGTATAAAATCTCTTTGCCTCCTTACAAGTTAACCGTTTCACTAATATTGTCGACATATTCGTTCAAATGCCTGGAAAATGCATGAGCATAAATATTTTCACTTCGCTTGCTAATCAAGAAAATGAAAATTAAGCTGTAATTTAGTTAGGTTTGCAATTTGGCAAATTGTTGAATTAGCACATCGGCTAGGTATGTGTATGTGTTCGCACATGTGCTTGATATGTATGCATCTACAAGGCGTATGAGTAACTAAAAAGCGAAGGCACAGATGTTGCCTATGCACATAAAGTTTTATGTAAATGTGGGCTGGCATGCAAATGTAGCGGTGGAAGTATGTTCAAAAACAAGTTTAAGTGCTGCATGTACAAGCGCTTACACACATACATACAAACACAATTCAGGTAACCTAGCATGGAATTCAACTGAATTTAAATACACCGTAGTTGCAAAATATTAAAACCACACACTACAAGCTTGTGGATACACAGCGCTGCGAGCGTATCTTTTTCCAACTTGGCCATATAATTGGTCTGCATGAGAGTGCCTTGTAGTCGAGAATTACACACATATATATGTGTGTTATGATACTATCGCTGCTAGGTTCCTAGTTATGTATAAGAGCATATGCAAGCAATTATAAGCTTTTGCCAGGGTGTAAAGCTTAATAAGAACTTAGCTAAGACACACAACTAACTTAATAAAGAATTTTGCTATGCCTGCAAGGCTTCTTCCAACATGCTGTGTGTACATATATGGTAGTGGTGCATATTGGAATAGTTTTCAACCAACGATTTTGTTGTTATATTACCTTTATGAAAGTCTGTAGATTCTAAGTGGTTGTTCTATCAATTGCAATTCTTCTGGACTTTTGGAAAGTAATCTGTCCTTGATCTAGCCCCAAATGGTCCTTATCTTGTGAATTATTATTTTTTTTTTAATTTCCTTTGTTATTGCTGTATAAAGAAACACATTGAAAGTTGGTTTTTAAAATGTTCTATTTTCTCTTATTGAAAAATTTTATCTTTTAATGCCAAAAATTAGGTGAAATCCGCTCAGATTTTTTCCTAGCCCCGACATACCTACCGGATACACTGTTACAGGTCATTGGTCTCTCTAAAGATAATTGTTTTCGGGAAGGATCATTGACCTGGCTAAGGATTATTGACCTCGCTAGATCTTACTAAATGTCATTGGCTTCGCTAAAATGAATTTAATTATACCCCGAACAGAGTATATTAAGTTCGTAACATAAAAGAGGAAACATCCGAAACTCTTTTAAAAATATTTGATATCTAAGTGATCAGCGTGATGAGCTGAGACGATTTAGCCATATCCGTCTGTTTGTCTATTCACCTGTCCATTCTTTTCTCTCTAAGAGCTGCTCATTTGTCGGAACCGCTAATATCGGGCCGCTAGAGGATACAAACTGATCGATAAAAATTAAGATTTCAAATCAATGCTACAATCTTTGAACATATTGGTTATATAGGACCACTACAGCATATAGCTGTCATTCAAGCTGATCTATCAAAATCAAGATAATGATCTTCATAAAAGCCATTTTTACCTTACTACATAAGTAACCTTAGCTCGAATTGAAGGTTGATTTTATCAAACTTGGTTATAAAGAACTAGCTAAACGTTTTCCGTTGGATGCAAACCGTTGCCAGGTTACGTTTTCAGCTTTATACTTATACATAAAAATATTATATGCTAAAAGAAACGCACTAGCGAAGTGTATTACAGCTGCGGACGAAGTTAACATTTTTTCTTGTTTTTATTGTTAAAATTAAAAACCTTTCTATTCTACAATTATCGAAAATTACATCTGAACTTTAGTTTAATCAAAATATATTTATATGATTCTTTCCAGTACATACTTATATATGCTACTTATATATATATATATATATGTACACTCATGTATTCCTTGTAAATTTTAAAATAACCTCCAAACGAGTTTTTTCAACATACTCACTTCCGGGAATCAGCCTCTATCACAACATCAATTTGATTCAAATTCAATTTTGTTGTCCCATTGCGACTATTGAACAAAGCTTTTATGTGGCCTCCCATCTCTATCGTTTAATTTCATTATCCATGTATACCGCTACCTCCGCTCTGTTGCGTCACTGCCATGTATAATAATATTAATTTGATGTGCTCTACACATACTAATATGAGTACTTATGGATATGACTATTTGACTATATATCACCATCTATTTACTATTGCTTATTGTTGCAGATGAAAATTGGGGTATGCCACTTGCCATAGCGGCAAACTTACATGTGTCATATAAAATTGAAATTGCTGACGACATACGTGATCTGCATGCACACGATAAAATTGGTAAAGGTAAGTGTTGAGTTGAATTGTTAACACATATGTATATGACGTTTAATTATAGAATATTTCACTAAATCAATTTTCAATCATTTAAAGCACTTAATGCCATTCTACATATAGCACCCGTGCATATTGGCGGCTGGTGTATTCCTGCGTTGACCGCTCTAAGGCTCAATGAAGCTACCCAGCTTGAAGAGGTGCAAACAGTGTCACGCAAATTTGCTCTGCTCCTGACAACTTCTACCACTGCCTTACAGAGGCTACTCATGGTGGCTGTTTCGCCGCTCACATACCGACGAGGGATATGTGAACGGGGAGAAGTTGCTCCGCCAGCAGAGCGGCGATATTATCCCGCATCCTGCTCACATCGGAGTGGGAATGTGTTAAATCTAAGTTGTTATCTTGCATTCTAGCATTGAAGCTATGGACCACGTGTGCGCTTAGCAGGCGTTGGTCGACAATCAACTCTTGCGCGATTGCGAAATAATTCAGGACTAGAGTAGAACGTAGGAGATCTACTGAACTGCTTATTCTCAGCAAAGTTCATATTGCCGCAATTGTTAGAAGTTCTTACTGTACTCTGTCCAATTAGCGTTCATGCTGTCAGGCTAAAAATACACGCACTATCTTTTCTATTGTCCAGCCTTTGCAAGACTGAGGCTGAAACATCTCAGCAGTTATACCTTCAGCGAACCAGAAGACATAGCCGAAACTGATATTGGGGGATTCAACAAAGCGCTTTCTTGATTTATGAGGGTCTTATAATCCAGTATATAGGAGTTTTTTAGGTACCACAACGGACTGGTGTTATAAGCTATCCAAGTGAAATCCCTATTAAGATCGGTCATTTAACCTTATCTTATTTAACCTAAAGCACTCATATTTAAAAATGAGTAAGCTTTCTTTTATATCGATAAACTTTAGTGGTGCTTCTTTAACCTCAAAGTAGACCTACATCGCGGCGGTAACCTCCTGATTCAAATATGGAGAATACGTCGAATGATAAAGTCGGTGTGTTGTCATGGTGGAGTGCTGACTTGGTTTACTTTTATCGGCTCAGGTACGACTTGGGCACTAAAAATGTTGTCTAGGATTTCAAATAAGCATACAATATGATATAGGTATTTTTTATAGCTCTATATCATTGGAAGAAGACATCGCTATAAGAGTAGGAAATAAATCACATTAAAATACTAATAAATATACCGACTTACTTTAGTATAGTTTTACATAAACCTCATTTCACATTTTTCTCTTACTCCAAAACTGCATGCATTAAACGGCAGCGATCATAATCACGGCGGACATGAATGATGCCAGCACATTACAATTGCTGACACAGTTGGTGGGCCTGCAACACACCAAAGTGCTGCTCATCGATGTGGTGGCCACGTCCTTTAATGCGCAGAATAATTTCTACAAAAATTTGGCGCGCATTAACGGCAGCGCCGAACTAATGTCCAATTTGCTGCTACTCACAGTGCTGAGTGATAAGTACCGTTATTTTCTGAAGGTCGCCTTCGAAGACAACGGCATTGGATTAGTGCAGAATTTCCGGCAAATGCGACGTTGGAAGGCAATGACAACCGATGGCCAGCTGGGTGGCGAAGCGGCTATGCTCAATTGGCCAATGCACTTGGATAGATCAGTTACACGTGCGCTGCAAGAGCACGAAGAGGCTATGGCTGCGGAGGCAATCGTAAGCAATAATGACAAAACTGCAACGACTACGAGCACAACAACTGTGCAGCCGACGCGTGACACATTGGCGGCCTTCGATGAATGTCCACAGCTGAGTGGGCTTAATTTTGTCGAGATCTGTCCGAATATTGAAAATGTAACAGGGCATTGCGTGCAGTTTTTGCAACAAAATCACAATGACAATAATACTACACGTAACGGCAATTTGTTGCAACAGCTGCGCACGTTGCTAAAACAACTATGCCACATACATCCGGTCACCGGACATACCCACGCTGAACAAGCGCGCATTGCCAATTTACGGAATTTCATAGACTTTTTTCATTTTTACGATTTTATAATTACCAATGTGCGGCAACAGCTAGCGGTGACGCCAACAAAACCAAATTCAAGCAAAATAAAGCAATCAAATACGGCATCAACCACAACGCAAAATAGAAATCGAAACGATAGTGCCGGTGCTGCTGGTAGTAGTGTTGACATTGACGCGCCAGCCGGCATTATCACCGCCCAAATGCCTAAGTATGATTTCATTGTATTGGATGTGGTGCATGAAAATGCCACTGCCAACAATAATAACCACAATAATAAAGACAATAGCATAGCCACGAATGCGGCTATAGTTGACTTCAATGGTAGTGTTAATGCTGACACCAATTCGGCGGACACGGCGGATGCGGTATCAACAGCATCAATTGACTCAATCAAATGGCGCCCACTGTTGATTCTAGAGCAGCACGAGATCAATTCCAACACTTATATTACACATTCCATACAGCCGGGTTACGACGAATGGCTGCTGGTGAGCACGGCACAGCTTTGGCAATGCGGCGCTATCTGTTGGACAATTGTGGCGATTTGCATTGGATTGCTTTTGATTATTATGGCCGCAAGCGTGGCTGCCGGCATAGCAATGAGGTAAGTGGAATATTGGTGCTAAAGGCAATTAGCAGTAATTATGTATACATATATGCTCATTTTGTTGAAATTAGCACAATATGTTCCGCTTTTTTTGTATAGGTACAAAGTGAGAGAAATTTGACGCACATTTTCCACTAATTGGTTGCACTTGAATTGATTTAAAGAATACACAATTTGGAAGCTGAAAAACGAAAGGTTTTCATATGTAAAAGTGCTTCTACAAATAAAGAAACTTGAAAAATATAGATTTGTCTTATAAATAGCTGTCGTCGATTCGCTAAGAGTTAGACACTAACGAGGCGAACAAACTATAACAGCTGCTCAAGCAGACTGTTGGGCTTCTTGCTTGGTCGAAAAATGTTTCCTTTCGTGGCAAAGAGCATTTAGGTAAACTCTTAGTTCTAACCCTTACATTTTCTATAAAAAACTATAATTTATTATTTTATTTTAAGCATTTTCAATCAATTAACAAACAATTTTATTTTCATTTGGCATTTCATTCAATTTTTGGGAACTAGTTGCCGTTTCAGCGATACACACAAGTTAATAAGTAATGGTCTAAACTATGTAAAAAATTCGAAAAAGCCATAACTTTGATAACTATACAAGTACTTGATTCTGGTTGTTCAGTTTTTATGACAGCTATACGCTATAGTGGACAGATATTGGCTGTTCAGACAAATAAGCAGGCTTTTGGTGAAAAAAGAACTTCTGAAAAATTTTCCATCCATATTTCAATAACTGAGGGACTAGTTTGCGTTCGCTGATCATTTATATATATATATTATAAACTCTCCGACACTTATTTCTGGGTGCTACAAACTTCGTGACAAACTGAATATATCCTGTTCAGTGTATAAAAATAGATACCGTAGTGGTTACACCACTTTAATGAAAAATCAACATGCTCCATTGTAATTAAAAGATCTCGCTAACTTTGTTTTTGCTTTACATGTAAATAATTAGAAAAGAGAGCAGCGCACGAAGATAGTGAGCAGAGAAATTGCGAATCGAAGCCAGCTAATGTTAAGACTCCAGAGATCCTATGGTAACTATTTGATCCCTAAAACAAAGGAATTTGATTCTTTATACAATTTGCGAGGACTCGTCTCCCCTAGATCAATTTTCTCATACTTTATCTGTAATATACTTCGTGAACAGTGACGATCTCAAATTTCCAACAACGAAAAAATTCTGACGACATTTAGATTGAAACATTAAAAGTTGTGTTCATCCATTCTAAATATTAGCTCTTAGGAATGAATATCAAGTGAGGACTTTTTTGTATTATAGATTTTTGTTATACAAATAGAGACAATTTTTTTAATCAAAAATATATTATTTATCAAAAATATGTGAAAACTAACGACTAAATGGCACTAAGTTCACGAATTTGTAGCACCCGGAAGGAAACGTCGGAGACCCAATAAAGTATATATACAACTGAATAGCGTGACGAGCTAAGTCGGTTTACCCATGTCCGTCTGTCTGTATAAACGCGAATTCTCTCGGTTTTTGAGACATCGATCTGAAATCTTGAATACGTCGTTTTCTCACCAAGAATCTGCTCATTTGATGGAAAGGCCGATATCAGGCCACTACAACGTATATCTGACAGACATCTTCACGAAATTGTATGTGGATTATTGCCCAAAGTAGCAGTACAATCTCTGAAGAAATTTTTCAGATCCAACCACAAATAGCTGCCATGCAAAATAATTTATCAAAATACAGTTCTTGTATTTAAAAACTCATTTAACACTATAGCATATAGATGCCAAACAAACTGACCGATCGAAATCAATTTTTAGTATGAAATCTTTTGTATTTGTGAAGGATATTTTAGCTTCGGTGGAACTGACTAAAGTGACAAGTTGAGAAATATTTCTATAAATCTCTGGATCTCGTATCCCTTTAGACCAATATTATATTTTTTCGTGGAATTTTTATGTCAGCATTTGACTTTAGTGCGATATTTTAAAGATTTAGGTTCCAGTAGAAGACTGATTTTACTAAAAACAAATTTAGCATTCAATTCACTTTTTAACGAAACCTTAGAAATTTCTTTCCTGTTTTTTGTGCCATTTAAGTATACCTGCTAAATTCTGAAATATCATAATATATAGTCACGATATGGTTCAGATACTCTACATTTTTCTACTCAAACAATTTAAATTCAAAATAGCCGAACATTACGAGTAATACTAATAAATGTATTTAGCACCACAAATTCATCTAGACTAATTTACAAACTCCGATAATTATCAACTTATGCCTGTAAGGTATTGATTATTACATATTTATTTTGCGCTCTCACACAAAACTAATGCCTGCGTTTAACCAAATTTAAGAATTAATAAATAAAATCCAACTACGTCCACTAAGTTGATGGGGTTGTGGCAAATTAATAAATTAGTAATAGTCCAGAGCTGACTAATTACTCTAATGAGTATTCGGTCACTATGGTGAATGGTTGAAAACCCAAAGCATGGGCATAATGTAGCATAATAACACGCTAAAATTGAAGGTCATCAAAGTCACTACAGCATTAACACTTAATTGTATCATTATGAGTAAGAGCATGTCACCAGAGTCATGCTTTTGAAAGTTCGAAATTTAACTAAGCTTTTTACTTCTCAACCCCCCTTAGGCACATTACGCTCACACTTGCGCTCTGTCGGACCATTCATGAGTATTTAGCTTATTTCTTGTTATATTGTATTTTTATATATCAAAGTTTTTCAGTGTATCCTTGCTACTTCAAATATAAATAATTTACTATACTAATAAAGGTGCAACTATGTTAAAACTTTTTTTTTTTTTAATGACTTTAATCATAATTAGCCAAATAATTATTAGATATTAGCGCATTTCAAGCATAGTAATTTAAATAAGATTAAAAAACATTTATTTCAACATCTTGGCACCTTCTTTTTGAAATCGCTACACCTTAAAGCTGTAGATGATTGAATATATCCATTTAAGAATGTGTCACCTCAGATTGCAACGGCCTGTGTATACTGCTACAAACAGAATCAATTTTTCCCTGTTGAGGCTATATCTGCACAGAAATAACTTCATGTGACGAGGTCCAGTCATTTGTAGTTAGTACAGAGAAACTTGACTCACATATTATCGACTTGGTAGTCACAGATTTTCTAACCAGCCATCGACAGTATTCGATAGAAGTCACAAAAAATCTTAGAGTTTTTCTTAAATTAGCTAGGAAAGCTCCAGCATCCACTTCTTTTGCTCATTGAAAATAGAGAACCTAACCATTGAGAATTGGTAAATCGAAGCCAACTGAGTGACATTATTTTATGTTTGCAGTATCTTATTTCCATTACTAATCCTTTAATTTCGGAAATAATAATTTTAAATTTTACAAGTTTATTTTTAAGTTAAATTACGTATTATAATTATGCCGGATAAAAGTCGATTGTCATCTAACTCTATGTAATGAGGGATAGAAGTTGAAAATATCATATGAGGTATGTAATATCTTCTTTGGCACTATAGGCGTGGGTCAGTCTAGTTCAAGAACACAAAACGTCTATCATTTGCGAGCGTGGGCGCCCTTGCTTCCGTTGACCATCCATGGATATCGAATCGAAGAAGCTTTTCCCTGGAGCATCATCTTCCATGCCAACGACCAGGCTTAACCAGCGCACTCATTTGATTTTTATGTGCTTAATTCTATCCATGTCATCGTAGAGCTAATACCGTTCGTTATTTCATCTTCTTCGATTTTCATCGCTCAATCGGACGCCTACAAAGACCTTATGGAGAATATTTATCCCGAATGCCCCCAGCACTTTCTCATCTCAGTTCGTCATCGTTCATATTTCTGCACCGTATAATAGGACGGGAATGATGAAAGACTTATAGAGCGTAATTTTTATTCGTCGAGAGAGGGATCTGCTTCTCAATTGACTGCTGATCAAAGTAGTACTTATTGACAAGAGCTATTCGGCGCTTGATGTCTGGACTAGATTGTTGTTGGAATTTATGTTGGTTCCTACAAGTCCAATATATATAAAAAATCCTTCCTATTTTCAAATTTATAGTTGACAATCAATATCACTTTTCAATGGCGTATATATAATAGTTTAGTTTAATTTCACCTTCTGTGGACGAAAGCTTAATCAGTACGTTCATTGTGAAAAAATTACTACTTGATGATAAAAAAAAATCCTTCATAACGCTATCACATTATGCCACAAATTCGGGTTTATGTTTCTGTGTTTATACGCATCCGTTACGCAAAAATATGAAGTTTCTCTCAAATTAAGTCTCTTTTATACAATATATTAAAAAAGCCTTTATCAAACAAAAAAATTAAGTTGTTTGTCAACTGTCCCTCAATCGTTTACATTAAAAAGTTGTAAAAAACCGAATTATGAACATACTGCTAAATTCCCAGAGAAGCTATAAAACAGCACCACCTTGTGCACACACATACACATATATACATACGCACATGACATAATATAGAATACTGTATGAAGCTTTAAAAATTGCACCAATTAAATTAAATTAAGCTCTATATGTATGTGTTTCCAGCATTTTGTAAATGTGTAGTTGCATAAAGTTGTGATATACGTGTATGAATGCATATGCATCTGTGCTTGAGCATGTGCACATCTGCTGTAAGTATTTGTAAATACGCGTGGTGCACGCATTCGCACGACACACGCGTGTACATCCACCCACATGGGTATACTGCAATGTGTAAACTTTCGGATTTTATTAGCGTAAAAACGCTACGAATATAAGCACTACGCTAAAATTGGCAGTAAAACTTTGTTTAATCGCCTCAAAATAGAATATTTAGTGCGATTTCAGTGGGGAGAATTTTGCAGTTTGCGGTTATTCAGCGCGATTCAATGCAATGCCACAAGTATAACGCTAAATTAAGTTTATATGAAACAATTTTGGATTTTTGATGTCGCATCCAATTGTTTAAATAGCACATAATTCCACTAAACTATATAGAATGCATTATTTTAGCAGCCAGTGCAGTTCAGTTACAAACGTGTCTTAAAGACGACATTATCTAAGATAATTCAAGTCTATTTTGTCTAAAATTGAAACATCTCCTATGAGATTATATATACCACTTATAATAATTTCACAAAAAACCATGAATGATATATGAATTTCACCTTATAATGCATATTTCTCCGAATTTTTTATCGAATCTAATAATATCTCAGTTATCTTAATAAAATTAAGTAAAAATAGTTTTCACTTATCATATCGATTCCACCAGAAATGGATAAATTCGGCCCTAATTTTTTAATATAACCTGTATATAAGAATAGCGTTTAAAATTATTTGCGCCTACCGGCAATTTTTTGACATACATATGTATATATCGTGTCACAGCATGTCAAATATCCTAATAAAATTAAATTGACCTAATACATCTTCTATTTTGTAATATTATTTGTGAAATGATATCACTAGTGAATAGTGAATATATTAGTTTAGACCAAAGCATTCTTAATTGTTAACTTTTGCAGACGAATTTTGAGCCAGTATAATACTCGATGCTTCTCGAACTAGAACATAAATAAGAATAATACTATTACAAGTACATAGTAATCTCAGTAAGTTTAAGAATCTGCAATAGTTTAGTATAATCAATTTTTTCTTTGAACAACACTCATTACTCGGCAATATTTTAGACCAGTTTCAATTGTTTTTGATAATTAAACTAACGAGTGTTTTTTAGACAAGTGGTTTTCACCGAGGCAATACTTTTTGCGGAGTTACTTTTTTGACAGCTGTTATTTGATTTATACTCATTTTGGTTTGACATTTCATAAGGAACAGACTTATTCCCGAACAACGTTTGCAAGTTGTGCAAATTTATTACCAAAATAATCGTTTGGTTTGCGCGCTGCTCCAATATTCGGTCGACATAAACGTCCAGCAGAAGCGGTAATTCGAGTAACTATGGTTCTGTTTCCAACACTCGAGTGGAGATGCATATCCTCAGAGACAACGTACAGTGCACACCGAAGGCGCTAATGAGTTCATCCGCCATTGTATTCATCCACTTTACGGAAGGATCTTAGTTTGCGGGCTTACAAAATCTATTAACTAAACTAACTCATGCAAGAATTGAAGCCGAACGACCATCAAACGCATCGCACGTTCGGTGAATAGGCCCAGAACGAGATATGGCCACCGATCCCGGTTTCACAAGAAAATTTTATTCAGCGCTAAAGCTCATGACATTTGCTTCCAACAAGACGGCACTATATGCCATACAGCAACGAAAAAATCAATTTATTGAAGTTAACTTTTTGTGAATGCATTATCTCGCGTCGTAGACCTGTGGTGTGGCCTCCAAAAACGTGTGATTTAAACCCGATGGAATATTTTTTGTTTGGTTATGTGAAGTCGCTTGTCTACGCAGACCAGCCCGAAAAGATCGACGCTTTGGAAGAGCGGCGCGTTATTGCTGACTTACGACGCCAAATGCTGCAAAAGTGGTCTAAAATATAGCCTCTCTGCTAGAATTTATTCGAGCCAGCCGCGGCTGTCACTTGCCCGAAATAAGTTTTAAAACATAATGGCAAACGCTTAATTAAAAATTATTGGCTTTAACGTTGAATTATGTGCGTTTTATTTCTTCTTGAAAACCACACGACTAAAGAAACACGAGGACTTAAAGCGACACACCCCAAAAAAAATTAAAATTAACAATAAGATGTGGCTATTAAGTGGGCGCAGTTCAATTGTTAGCATCTTCATTTTAATACTATGCCAACGCTGTTTAAACACCACAATAACAGTTTATTTGAAGCAATTACCACCGTAATTCACCAAATTAAACGGAACTAAGAAATCAAACAGCGAACGCTGGTGGTATATACAAGCTATTTAGCTATTCAGCGCAATTCAGCAACTATTTAATTGTGTAAAAGGCAATGAAACAACTACACTGACATTTCGATCAACTACAAACACTATCGTAAATATCCAGCAGTCGCGTTTAAATGATACACAAAGCCATAAAATGACCAACAAGCGATAACAAACTTGTACATAATGAGATGCGAGCCAGCGGCACGGAGTCAAGTTGCACGTATCCTAATGAGGTATAAAAAAGACAAAGCAAACCAAAAAAACAAAAAAATGTTCACAAACAAGCAAAGTTGCACATACATTGACACGTACATATGTGTGTTAGTGGTGTTGTAGCATCGCACACAGCGAGATCAGACAGACAAAGCAACCGAGTTAATGACTAATCTGCTGCTACTTTGCTTCACTGAAGACGGTCTACCACGCTGAATTATTATGGCTGCGCGTGAAACTTTAGCACAGTTCATTAATATAATTCCGCAGCTTTAACTAGAGCTGTTTTATTTTTTACTACTTGTTCTTGTTGCATTATATAGCACGAAGTTAATGTTACACACGCACACGCACACAAACACACGAGTATCATTGCAAATGGCAGGTTAATACATAAGTACAAAAACTCGAGCGCATATCGAGTGAGTGTTACACTGGGCTAACATTCGCGCCATACTCTCAATTTGATGGCAGTTATTTTTAAGACATTTTAGTGTAACCTCAAAGTGGAAATTACGCTTACTTGTAAGCTTGCTTAATAGTTTCGGTTATATAATACTACTTACTATGAAAAGGAAAAGCAAATATTATGTGACCGCAGCTTAAGTTGCGCGCTAATTATCCAATTATTTTTATACTTTCAGGAATTACTTTCTACGTAAGCGCCTCTCGAAAGGACCCAACAAAATCGTACTCTCCGCTGATGACTTTGTCTTTCCAGTCGACTCACGCAGGGTGAGTAAAATTTTTATTCACTATGTTTGTGATGACATAAAGTGTTTAAGAAATATACAATACTTTGCATTAATTACAATATAGTGGAGTATTAAATGGGTTAAAATCTGCATTTGGATATATAGAACTAAATTATGATTTTCCTTACCCATAATATAATCAATATCTTAACCTCAGTAGCAAAATCAGATTGCTGTGTCGATAAATAATAACAGCTTAGCTAAATTTTTGAAATATCTACAAATATTATATTTGAAAGTCTAAGGCATCCATACTATTGTAACTCATGTATGGATCTCTTAAAATAAGAGTAAAATAAATTCCTGAGGTATTTGAAATTATCCGGTTATATGTTACATTTAATTAATTACAGTATGTATTATTTTAAATATGGTCTGCAATTTTGCACACGTCCTTTCCTTATCACTACGCCGATATTGAACAACTATAGCATATAGCTGCCATACAAACTGACTGATAAAATTCAAGTTCTTGTATGGAAGACTTTTTTATTTGTCAACATATCTTCAGGAAATTTAATATAGATTATTACCGCAGACATACCTAAAATATCCAAAGAATCACTTTAGCTTATAGCCGTAATCCAAACTGACCGACCAAAATCAAATCAATGATATTTTTATATCTTTTTATGCTATAAAAAATACACCTATGATAAGCTTCGGTGCAGGCTCCTCCTAGAATGCTTAGCATACTTTTAGAAAAGGATGCTTTCGAACTTGATCTTAAGTAAGGGCTTGCTTATGTCTGTTTGTTCACATAAGTACTTTTTACAGAGATCTTAAGCTACTTACGCATTTTCATGTTTGTCATATTATTCTATATTGATGAGTGAAGTTTATCAGTAGGAGACAATATGTACGTTCTCTCTTTTCAATTAGGTCGATGAGGGCATCGAAGCGATGCTCTGCTGTTGGCTACAACAACTACAAGAGTTCGGCGGCCCCGAAGTCGACAAGCCTGATTTGCTTAAAGGTTCAATCGGTTCGCTAAAAAATCTTGGCTTAATTATACCGGGCGTCGGCACAGCCACTGGAGGAGCAGCCACAGCGAATGGTGCTAAAGGTACGTCAGGCACAAATAGCTTAGCGCGTCATAATCCGGCGCTCCTAGATATGCGGGCGCGCTACAATGGCGATTTGGTACAACTGAAAGAAATACCCTTGAATGGCTCGGCTGAGTTGAAGGCCAAAGCAATGGATCTGTTGGTGGCAGCGCACGGCATGCGACACGAGAACATTAACCCCTTAATTGGTGAGTAATAAATACTTTTTGCTGCGTAACGTTTAATTAAAACTTTGTTTTGTGTGCTTTTTTTTTTTTTTGTACTAAATCTTTTCTGCTACCACCTTCTTCTCGCTAGGTTGGCTCTCCGATCCCAATCGCACAGCCATGGTGTTCGATTACTGTTCACGCGGTTCGCTGCAGGATGTGCTCATCATGGACGAAATCAAATTGGATTGGAGTTTTCGTCTCAGTTTGTTAACGGATTTGGTGCGCGGCATGCGCTACCTGCACGCCTCAACCCTACGCGTGCATGGCACATTAACGTCGCGTAATTGTGTTGTGGACGCACGTTGGGTACTGAAAATCACCGATTATGGTCTACCATCATTCTATGAGGCGCAGAATCTTCTGCCACTCACACGAACAGCTAAAGAACTATTGTGGACTGCGCCGGAATTGTTACGTTCAATGAAAACTCATCATCAACACCATGGTCGCGTACTGGGCACACAAATGGGTGACGTCTATTCCTTTGGCATCATCATGCAGGAGGTCGTCGTACGCGGTGAGCCCTACTGTATGTTGTCGCTATCTCCGGACGAAATAATAGCGAAAATTAAAAAGCCACCACCACTGATACGGCCATCCGTTTCGAAGGGTGCTGCACCGCCAGAAGCCATCAACATTATGCGTCAGTGCTGGGCTGAACAGCCGGACATGCGGCCCGACTTTAATTCGTGAGTACAGCACAAACATTTTATTAACCTACTGCTTACATAGCTTGGTGGTAATGAACAGTAAAGGTGTTTTATAAATATACTTTATGGATATTCCGCATATATTGATTTTATGTTATGTTTCACTTATCTATTTATTTACTTCGCCTTTTTCTTCACCTATCTGCCGCGCTAACGCATTATTTTGCCTACCGGCTGTTGATGACACCCTTAATGATGTGCGATGAATAATATGCTACATTTGCTGTAATATTTTATTAGCGTTTACGAACGCTTTAAAATGCTCAATCACGGGCGGAAGGTGAACTTCGTTGACACAATGTTTCAAATGCTGGAAAAGTATTCGAATAATTTGGAGGAGCTGATACGTGAGCGCACAGATCAATTGGACATCGAGAGAAAAAAAACGGAACAATTATTAAATCGCATGTTGCCAAGGTAAGAAAACGAAAGTGAACTCCTTTTATAATGCAGTCGCATAGCGCCGAAGGAAAAATAAAATGCAAGGGCTTTGCATACGTATTAGGAGTTTGTAAACTGATTACGATTTTCGTTGATGTTCTTGTTGCAGCTAGAGTAAATATTCCACAAATATATTTCAGCTGGTTTCGACACATTGACCCAACTGGGCCCCCTTGTTAGGCGTTGAAAGATGGCAGCATGTAGTGCTAACTATGGCACAGTGAAAGCTAGCAATAACCACAACTTAACTTCCATAGAAACTAGGGTTATTTCTAGTGTCGAAATCCAAGCATCCAGTCCAGCAGCAGTTCAGGTCTTCCAAATTGTAATTCTCTGCTTCCATGAAAGTTTTTTGAATATATCATATATGCGCCGTTTCAACGCGAGTCGACGCCGAAAAACACTTCAAAGCTTTTTTTCTCGCATTGATCAGCTTTACGCTCGGCTTCGGTCATCTTCCAATCTGCACTTCCTATGCGATTTCGTATGAAAATCTACGCACACAGTTTTGAAGTTGATCTTGCACATTCATCAGTTTTGCTCTCGGTTCGGCGTTCACTCTACAAGCACCCTTAGAAGGTTAAACCATAAGCATATAGTGTTAAAATTAATATATTATTTTTGTTCAAATTATATATTTTTTAGTTACCTTGGAAGATTTCTCGGTTTTCAAACGCACAATTTCTTAATTGTCTAAATCATACTCGTAATATTTTTACTGACGCTTTACATATATTGTTGCGGATCAAAACCTAAGTTCCATGCAGTACAAATCCGTTATAATTCATAACAAATGTCATTTTTATTAAGGCTGGCTTGTTCTTTTTACCCAAATAACTTCTCCCTTTTTCAACTGCAGTTCGGTCGCGGAAAAATTGAAAATGGGCTTGGCCGTCGAACCGGAAGAGTTTTCCGATGTCACAATCTATTTTAGCGACATTGTTGGTTTTACAACGATTGCTGCACACTGTAGTCCCGTACAAGTTGTGGACCTGCTAAATGATCTATACACAATTTTCGATGCCACCATCAACGCCTACAATGTATACAAGGTATGTAAAAACAACTACTTATATGCGTTGGTACAGATATATATATTGTATTTATATTCCTTGTCAGGTGGAAACCATTGGCGATGCTTACATGGTTGTTAGTGGCTTACCGGTGAAAATACCCGATCATGCGGAACAAATTGCCACAATGGCATTGGATCTGCTACACCAAAGTGGTCGTTTCAATGTGAAGCATTTACCTGGTGTACCGTTGCAATTACGAATAGGTTTGCATACAGGTCCCTGTTGTGCAGGCGTGGTGGGATTAACAATGCCGCGTTACTGTCTCTTCGGCGATACAGTGAATACAGCATCGCGTATGGAATCAACGGGTAAGAACTCCGTTTATAAACCTACAATAATGATAATTGAGATTGTTATTATTATTGCTTTGTTTGGAAGGTTCCTCTTGGCGCATACACATGTCACAGGAAACACGTGATCGCTTGGAAGCACGAGGCGGTTATACGATAGAACAGCGTGGTTTAATTGAAATTAAGGGAAAAGGAATGATGAATACCTTTTGGCTGTTAGGGAAGAAAGGTTTTGATAAACCGTTGCCTGCCCCACCGCCAATTGGGTAAGCCTCTAGATACATTATTTACTATATTGATATATATTTATTTAAAATACCTTCCCTTAAATTTGAAAATGCTTGCTCAGTGAATCCCACGGGTGAGTGTTATGAGCCATATATAAAAATATTTTCTACACTTTTTCATAAAATATACTAACTATCTTTTCTGACATCTTGTATACTGCTTTCAGTCTAGATGAGTCCCTCATCCGCAATTCGATCACACTCAAAGCACAAGCGAACAAATCACGGAACAGCACCAATCCCTCCTCAAGTCAATCTTCCTCGCTGGCTGGCGAATCAGTCGAAGTGAAAGTGGAGATTACGCCACCCACCAATGCGGACGTTTGCTCGTCAAACTTGCCGAACTCATACTCTTTGGACTCCACTTCTACGAACACAATCAGTCCGAATGTCACATTATGTCCTGATTTCCCCGCGAAGACACCTAACGCCAGCCCGCAATCACGCAAAATGTCTGAACTTTCACCTGAGAATTTGCTCACACCGGGCACTTTTAATCGTCTGCCTAGCTCGGCAGGTGGTTCTTCATCGCGCCTCTATAAAAAAATTGAAGAGATGATGGATCTCAGTTCACCGTACAATCATTACAAATGTCTCAGTCCCAGTGAAAGTAATCTCACACAATTCTACGATGGTAAATATTTGTATAGCGGTGGTGCTGTTTGTAGCGCCGTTGGTGGCGGCACCGGCTCTGGCGGTGGTAGCGTACACAGCAGTAGTGTTAAATTCGATTCGAAACCTGGCTCAAGTCGTCTATTACGGCGACAATTCAGTCTCGATCGCGATGACACGCAAGCAAAATCGGAACATCATCATCACCATCAGCATCACCAAAGCTCTTTGCAGGGTTCATTTGCTATGACGCTCATGAATAAGTCCTCAATGTTGGATATACCGATATTACATGAAACCTCGCGTAGTCCGAAAGGCACATTGACACGTGCGCACAAACAGAACTCCACTTCGATCGCACAAGATCTGGAGAAAATCGAGGAGATACCACTTTCGCCTGCATCCTCACAACATCACAGCAGCTTGGACAGCAATTTGAATCGCAGCCCACCCTCTACGGTAGAGGCACAAACACCGCCAACTAATGCCACATTAGCGGCTGCATTGCTGTCGGCGCCTACCTCGCCAGCACCATCGCGCACCTTAAACGGCGTGGGTTATAATATGAGCGGCGGTGGCGGCGCTGTAACAGAAAGTCCCACCACCGATGCCTCGACAGCAACAACAACGGCTTCAGTTAATTCGAACAATACGACTCCGGGGGAGGACAGTGGAATTCGACGCAATGAATTGACATTAAATGTAGAGACATTACTTAGCAGGTAGGACACGGTTTAAGGCGTTCAGATATGATTTCTAAGAATGGTTGTGTGGCTCGTTACCATGGAATATGGGTTAAACCATAAGCAAATAGTGTTAAGCACTTAAAATGCTTATGATTGGAAGACATTTTGAGCATTTTTTTTTTAATATTAAATTTTCGAAATTTTTGTTGTGGATCAAAACCTACGTTGAATGCAGTACAAATCCGTTAGAATTCATAACCAATGTGATTTTTATTAAGTATTGTAATAGTATTGTATTTATGGAAATTTTATTTGTGTAAGTAATGATTATGGGAGGATTGATATGTACACTTTTTCTGTGTGCCATCTTATATAAAAACTTATGTTATAGGACAGGTCCTTTCAAAAGGTATTTTTCAGTAAGGGTGAGCTCATATGAAGATGAAAGTGATATAAGAAGATATATTTGACATATGTCACTTTGACATTGACTGCAGGTTCCAGCAGAAAATATGTGTTTATATACTTGTATATTTACGGAACAAAGTGAATCACTGCAAATGTTGGAGGCTCCAATAAATATATGCTTACGAGTATATAAATGATCCACGTGATGAGCTGAGTCGATTTAGTCATGTTCGTCTATCTATCCGTCTATATACGAGTATATGCGAACTGGTCCCCAGTTTTTGAAATATGGACCTGAAATTTTGCACAGGTGCTTTACTAACCAACTTACTCGCTGCAGATTTGTCAGAACCACCGATATAGGACCACTATGGCGTATAGCTGCAATACGAACTAATCGATCCAAAACAAGTTTTTTGTATGAAAATCTCTTTTTATTTCAAAAGGGACGATACCAAAATGTTGCACGTTTTATTAATCAAGGTATCGCTGCATTCTGCGAAAATAGTTTTCAGATCAAACTATTATATATATATACAAACAATACTTTAGCCTGAAACTGAACGATCTAACTTTAGTCATTATAAGGAAAACATTTTTATTTAACAAGGTATCGTCACTGATCATAATAAATAAAAAAAAGGTTTTTATAGCCCTTTATGCTATAAAAAAATGCGCCTGTGAAGGGTATTATAACTTCGAAGCAGCTGAAGTTAACGTTTGTACTTGTTTTGAACCATTTTGCTCGAATATTAGAAGAGATTTAGAAAGAGTTTGAAAAGCTGACATCACAAATGATCGGTGAGAGGTCAAGTGTACTATCGGCCCAATTTTAAGTGCTACTGAAAACGACATTTAATTGAAAAATGAGTATTACAAATATTTGCGGCCGGTTCTACGGTATTTTCTATTTTTATATGAAGAACTTTAGTGAGCTTTATCGCTTCTATTAGTAAAGAAAAGTCACAAATCTTATAATGGAAAATTCAGTGCTTCAATAATGATTTTTGCAAAAAAATTTATGTAATATATTTATTTTTGAATGTTTTTATAGCATTGTAACATTTATTACAAAAAAGTTTGAGAAAATCTCGACTTTAAACAGTTATTTTTTAAGAGACAATCGTTGTTACTACATAAACCTAATAATTGTAATGTAATCTGTAGTTATATATAATATAAAAATGTAGTCTGAAAACTTAGAGAAACAGTAATTATATAGCATATTAAGTATATATAGATATATATACGATGCATGCAAACATATGCATTACTTTATATGTATGTATATGGTAAGAGGGACGTGTGTGTTATGTTTGCATAAGAAATGTGAAAAAGCTCAAAAGAACGCTTGCCAATTAAAACTACATTTGGATATATATATAAAAAATATGTATAGTAAATTATATATGGAATGAAGCTTTGTAATTGTTGTACTAAAGATAAAATTGGTGTTGAAGAACAACAGCACAATGGCTAATTTCGCAGTATTTGAGGTGTGTTGTAAAGCTTTTGAGAATGTAATGCCAAAGATGTAACTGAGAATACCTAAAACGGTACAAACTTACTAGATAAAGGAAACAGAAACTTATTTACATACAAACAATATCAAAAAAATTTAAAAAAAAAATACTTTCAATTAATTAGTTATTGCGGTTTATAGAGAGAAAACTAATTGATATAAACAAATACCACTGAGTTTTTACAATAACGAAAGAGAAATATAAAACCGAAACAGTTATTAAATAGTTGTAAGTAATCAGAAATACTAAAAAATCAAAAAATATCAAAACCCATTGCCCACAATTAATCCACAAAAATGTTTAGTATGAATTTATATGTATGTATGTGCAACAAAAATTCAATGAAAACTCTCAAATACTTCCGAACTAAAACTGAATATAATTGGATTGATAAATAAATAAAAAATTACTTATAAATAAAGTAACTGATACAAATCTGTTCATTATTTGGAAATTTCGGTACACAGTTATATGTTCAATAGCGACTTATTTAATACGAAATAGTAAGACCTTCTTTATTGATACCTTCGACTCCATTAAATACAAAAACGGAAATATCCACAAGCTTTAAGCAGAATCATTATAAATGATATAGCCTCAAGCAGCCTAAGGTTAGAAACGAGTAGGTATATAAAATATGTATTAATTTTTGTTAGTCTAAAAATAACGCAATTGTTAGTTCAATCCAAAGTATCACTCGATATCAGAAATTACTTTGATATAGATGAAATCAATATCATAGCACTCATAAGTGAACCAAAATGAAAAAACCTTACAAAATATGGTATTCATAATGATATAGGAATTAAATATTTGAAATATTCCGTCCAAATTAGCTCTATGAAGTCACGTTTTCAATACAAAAGCCTTTGGGGAGGTTCTACGCAATTCTGCATGAGTTGCTGGTGTTTCTAAGTGCTATTTTATTAATATACCTTTTATAACCTCCTTAAAACTCAATCGCATCATCAATAGAAACATTTCCCACTAAATCTGAAGTGTTACAAGCATAGACACATCAAATTTATGGAACGAATCTAACTCGATCGAACTACAAGGGGGTACTTAATCAACTAATAGCTGTCTTCGATTCGCTAAGCGTTGGAAAGTAGCGAAACAAGCTATACTAGATGTTGCATTGAATATTTTATACCCTGAAGAGGACATATTCAATTTGCTACGAAATTTCTAATTTGTAAGAAAACGTCGCAGACCTTATAATATATATGTATATATGAACAGTATGATGAGCTAAGCCGATTTAGCCATATTCGTTGGTCCATCTGTATATAAGGCCTTCAGTTTTTGAGATACACACGTTCTTTCTCTACAAACTGAACAATCGGAATAAAGTGCTTGTATGGAAAGCTTTTTCATTTGAAGAGAAATTTAGTATGGGTTATTATCGGATCGGATCACAATAGCATATAGTTGATATACAAAGTGAACGATCGGAATGAAACGCTTGTGAGAAAAACTTTTTCTTTTAATGAGATATTCTCACCAAATATGGCTTGGGTTATTATCAAAGGAAACGGTGCAATCACACATAAAAACTGACCGATTAAAAGATAACTTTTTTATTTGTTTTTTTATTACATTACATCATAAGTCTTAATAATATATAATATTTTCATGACAAAGAGAGGAACTTTTTGTTTACTAAATCCGAATTCTCTAAACAATATGGAAATCACAATATTACTCAACTCACAAGCTCTTTACTATATCTCTGACAACTGTGCGGAAAAGCGATGAAAGTAGACTATCGTAGCAGCGTTGGGTTAATTGCCTCAAACCCAGCAGCAGCGTGCCAAAACGCAACCAATTCGATTGTTGCATGGTATAACGGGCAAGTGAAACCAAAGTGCCATTTGCATAACTCTCTAGCAACATTGCATTCTCCGCGCTTAGAGCCAATTCTGCAAATTAACAAATACATATGTATGTAGACAATCACTGCCAAAGATAAACTCCTACTCATTGATATTGGAAGCGCTGGCACCACCACTTACCTTTGCGGCAAAGTATTAAGGTTTCAAGGAAATTCAATTCCATCACATCGGCGCGCAGCTGCTTCGCTTCAGCGATGACACGCCGCAATTGCGGATCACCGCAGGCATCAATCATAGCCGTTATGTCCAGCGACCAATGTGAGGCGCGCAACACAAAGCACTCATTCCACACAACATTCAAAATAGCCTCCTGCTGCGTGGGTGTTAGTGTACGAAATTGTTCATTGCATTTAGCTTGACGCAGACAAGTCACAAGGATTTGTGCAAGTATTTGGAAATTCACCGCATTGCCGACAGTGAGCGTCGCAGTGTGTGGCTTCTGCTGCTGCGTTGCATAATGGGGACGATACGTATGGTGCGTATAATCACAGCGCGCTAAGGTTAAACTTTTCGAGCTTGTTGCACCATGTTTGCCTGTAGCTGCTTGGTTGCGCGGTCCGCGCTCCTCTTGTACGGCGGTTACGTTCATGCCCACCGCCAGGCAACGTTGCAAACGACAATATGGACACCAATTGCGGCGTGTCTTATCAACAATACAATTGCCTTTTGCGGCGATGCACGTATACAGAGTACCTTTGCGTACACTACGCTTGAAGAAACAGGAACAGCCATCGCAGCAAAGTATTCCATAATGCTTACCGGAACTCTGATCACCACATACCTGACAGATATTGTGTGTTATATTAGTTGAGACTACTTGTAGAGTTGAGTCGTTGCCATTATACAAATGAGAGATTGTGGATTTCGTAGACTCTACCGCATCATCAACGCTACGTAGATCTGTCATGCTTAAAACCTGCGCGCTAAAAATCAACTGAAATCCTGCACTAAATTGCAATTGGTTTTTATAGCCGCGCTCAATTGAAATTCTTACTCGAATTTCCGTTGAACTCCTCAATACCCGCATATGTATGCACATGTTGTATGCGTCCTTCCAATTACATAGCTTTTATTATAGGTTATTGTCAAGAGACATGTGTATACTTTTTACTATTTTAGTTTTGTCAATCATTGCCGCGTGCCACCTCTTATAAGGCAAATTTGCATACGTTCATATACTTGTTTGATGGGTCAACAAGCGGTTATCCTGTCGATGAACATTGCACTTCAATTGCAAAGCAAAGGTTTGCAACTTTTCCTTAATAAGAGTAAGTTCACGTAAAAATCGTCATCGGTTCTTAAGTGTAACGACTGCTCTGTGGAGAATTACAGTTGAATGCACTTAGTGTGAACAGTTGAGTCCTAATAGGCGACGTCTTTGGAATGGTAAGACTGTAGGTTTTGGATTAGATGGAACTGTTCGTATGTATGTTTGTTTCAAGACAGGAAAGATAAGTTTGTACCAGCTGTTGAATGCATTCGTGAAAATTATTCGGTGGTCATAAATTCGCTTCCGGGTAGAGTCAAAATATAATATTATTGAATAAGGTTTTTCTATAGTCATATAACAATCGGTATTCCTATAGCATTGACCACGCCTGAAGTATTCTTTTTAAATGAATAAACGAAAAACATCTCATAAAACACTAACCATTCGAAGAAGCGCCAAACAGTTGAAATACTCCATTTAGCTGAAAGAAGTATCTACAAGTGATCGCTGACAGTCGTGTTACTGGGAGGATAGATGGAAATTAAAAGAAAGGAAATGAAAGCTAATCCCTGCGAGGAAAACATATAGGTAATAACTGTTTTTTATAAGTCACTTTCGTATTTTAACACCCAGAAGTTTATATCCTTCACATCGTTAGCTAAAACAGCCCATTCCAAGTCCCTAGCTTTGGTATCCACCGAAGGTTTAGTTCAAAGAGCTCTGTGGTCAGACTGGTTGGATATGTAATGATATGTTGAAATAAGCCAGTCGAACCTGCCTCAACTGCAAGATGCAAACGTCGATTCAAAATCGTGCGGTAGAAAGTTTTTCTCCTTATCATTGTATAATATATTGAACATCTATTTAGTACGGCTGTTGTGAATGACGGTTGGCTTGGAGTGACTCCAGGTATGTTTCAGCATGTTGGTTATATGTCACTAAGGATTTCTTTCCAATGGATTAAGGACTCTTCATGTTTTCCGGCGGCAGTGTTATCATTTTCAGACTGTAGTAGAGTTGGAGCTGGGCACTGTGAATTGGAGAAATAAGAAGCACGCTATTATCAGTCAGTGTGAATTTCAGTTGCCACGAAGATTTATACCTTACTCTGGTTGAAACCGAAAGGTGTAAGGTTTTAGACCAGGCCCAAAAAGTCACATGAACGTGGAAATAGTCGCTAGACCTTTTCGCTCTATTATTAATAGAACAAGTAGTTCGTTGTATAAAAAGAGCTAGTATTTTCGACCATAAAAATGTAATAGATCGATAGAGCGGTTCAATTAACAGCAGTAATATAGTTTTAAGTACCCCCAAACAAGGGTTCACTGTATTATAAACTATTATTCAATATAGTCTTTAACATTTAACATCATACCTAGCATGACTGGCAATGTTTATTTACACAATGATGCCTAACCACCAACTACCGAGAAGACCACTTAAAACTCGCCTTCAAATAATATAATAACAACCATATATTTCCTTTACGTTTTGTATTGTGATTGTTTACTTTTAGTGCAAAGAAACACATATGCATGCATATGTGAGTACATATGTATGCGTGTGCTGATGTATGAAAGTGTTAGACAATTTGTCAATTGTCACGCGTCAATTTACAGTTATGGGTGTTAACAGCAATCAAACAAGCGCTAGCATTTTGCCACGTTAATAATTTGTAAATAAATAAATTGATTTGATTAGACCTTTGCCATCGCTGATTTAAGGAAATGGGTGTGGTCAGTCAGTGAGGCGTTTATGTCAAATGCGGTTGGTATAAATTGTCTATTGGTTGGCAAGGCATTACTTCCTTCTAGGAGCTTATTCGGTTATTGCTAGCTCAACATTCTTTATTTGTTGTGATGAGATTTGATGTAAGCAGCTGAACTTTGAAGGCATATAATCAGAAACAAGCATTACTTGTGAGCGTATTGACCTCAGGTTGGAAATTAACATAAGTTGAAAATTGAATTAAATTCAAAAAGTAGTATAAAGAAATACAACACGTAAATACTACGTAAAAATAAATAATACCAACATTTCGCGAAGGTGTGTTAGTGTAACATTTTGTGTTAAAATTGGTTTACTCACCCATTAACTTAGTCGATGCTGTTAATACAAAATATCTGTCTGCTCCTGCCTTTTATGCTATGCTTTCTTTAAGATCTTCATTCAACTTATCTTCACCTAGATAGATAGATTGATTGAATAGAGGTATGCACCGCGACGTAGTCTACTAGCAGGTGTTCTGTCGTTTCCGATTCCATGTCGCAGAACCGGCAGTTTGCACAACGGGCATGTTGCAAAGATGCTTCTTGAGTCTGCAATGGCCAGTGTAGAGCTCGACAAGTAGCCGGAACTTGTTTCTTGGGAGATTGATTACATTTTTAAACCTTCTGAGATCGTAACCCCCTATTAGCAACCTGGCATGGTGCCTACACTGAAGTTGCTGCCAATGTCTCTCCATGCCTGCTCTTTCCTCACAACGGAGCAGCTCTTCAATGGTGTACAGACCAACCGCGACGAACAACGACGGCTCTGATCCTATTATTCTTGTGGAGGCTACAGAACGGGCCAGCTCGTCAGCCAGTTCATTCCCGCCTATACCCCTGTGACCAGGCACCCAGATAAGATGCACTTGGTTGCGGTTTGCTAGGTTGTTCAGCCGTTCTATATACTCCTGCACTAGTAGCGATTTGACCTCATAGAAAGTGATCGCTTTTAGTGCCGCCTCTTCACCTAACATGATGTTTGTTTTATTAAATACAAAAACAAAACCATCGTATTTCTATAAAAGTGTTGATTTGATACATAGAAGGCAACACATTCAAATATTATTGGGATATTTAGATTGTGACCCATATTAAGAATTGATGGATCGCGAAGATATTTTCAAATTCAATATTTAAGGTAGGTATAAATTCGTAATAAATTGTGTTTTTGAAATAAAGATTTAGAAAAGAATGGTTTTGATTTAGTATTTGTTAAATTTTTCTTCGTTATCCTCTAACATATCGCCAAGATATACAATATTTTATAATTTAAACAATTTAAAAAAATTTTAAGTGATTTCCATGGCAACGCTTAACTATCAAGTTGTTTGCAGTCTATGTCACGGCTGTCAATTTAAATCAATTTTGACAAGTAATTTGTGTGATCAGCTTGAAAGCAAGTTCTTGAGCGTCGAATACCAATTGGGTAGGGAACACTCAATCTTCTTCAGCTGTCACGTATATATGTAGATTGACAACTGCTTTCTAATATCGCATAACCGCTTTTAATTCAGAAGCCGCAAAACATAAATGTACCTACAGATATTTTCCTTTAATTCCAAAATATCTCGCTTTGAAAGTATAAACTTTAAAAGTTATTTCACACAAAGAAATGAATTTTTGGAATTAATCAGATATCATATATGTAAATGGCTCTTGTCAAAAAGTTTAAACATTTTCTAAGAACTCTTTACATACAAATAATACGGATCTGGCAATACGAACTAGTCAAATACTTCATTCCTTTCATACTGACATTCGTAAATATTTATCACCTGTCAATAAATAAGTCAATGTGCTCAAGACTTTTATCGTAAATTTTTCGTTAATTTTCCGGGATTAGTTTTCAAAATTGTTAAAATTTTAGTAGTTTCTATATCGAATAATAATGACTTTTGAACCGACAATACAATACACAATCGACGGAAATGTTTGTCGGCTACAGATTGCGCCAGTGGAGAATAGACGCGCCAAAGCCGGTGATGGTGACGGCTTACAAACTAACGCAACGCCAAATCGACGCAATTGTGACGTATTTGTGGAGGATCACAATTTCTACATTTTCGCGGATACACGACTCTATCGGTAATTACGCTTCATTGATATTAAAATGGATAGTACTTAAAAACGCTTATTTGTAGATTTCACTTATCGGAGCGTCAATTCGACACCAAAGACATGAAAAATTTTGTTATCAATTTTAATACCAAAACAAATAATTACGAAGTAGATTTACCCTGCTTGCCGCGATCAAATGAGGAGCAAAAACTGCCACCAGAAAAGAGTGATGCAGAGAAAACGTATACAGATGGCGCAGAGCCACCAACTATTGAATTGTGGAAGCTGAAACGCATTACCGACAACTGTTTTCTGCGAGTGGACAAAAGTGGTGAATTGTTGAAATTTATAGCAGATTTTGGTTATGGTTTTGCAGGGAAGTTTAAGGGGGATCTTATCGGATTTGTAAGTTCATTTGTGTTATGCCACTGCATATGTTTTTAACTGAACTCACTTTTATACACAACAGGGCGATAGATCTGCTATTGCGCAAATGCCGGAACCACGTACAGTTAGTCCGCTCCAACGTAGTATTGACCGTGAAATAGACGAGCTGAAAAACTTTTCACGTGATCAGTATAAATTGAATTTCGTTGAGCTGCAGGTGCCCGAAGGGCATGAAAATCCTATGAAATATAATAATAATTATGAAGGTGTGTAAGTTGTATTGCTTCTGATAATATTCTCAACCGTATTAATTTGGATGAAAATTTAACGTAGTAAAGCAGACTGTGCTGGGAGTATATTTTGCATTTTGTCAATTTTTTTTGTTTAGCGTATATTAATTTTAAGTATTTAACTATTTTTCAGATATTACGCTTACTCGCGATGAGGAGTGTTTGCTGCACAATTTGACACGGAAGTCGCAAGAAGCAGGGCTGTCTACTGACTACGAACAGTCGGATGTAGATTGTGGTCTGATATGCATACTATTGGCAATTTGCTATGATATACGGTATTACTTAATGTTTTTCAATTTCTTGGCTCACATTAACGCTACAACTACCTTTCAGTACCACATCGAATGAGCCGACTTGCGAAAGCGCCTGGACCCGCAGCATTCTCTCCGCTACGCTTAGTTACTTTGAACCATTCGAAAATATTAAAGATGTTGTTGTTAGTTTTTTACGCCGCTCACTTATTTATCCATTGTATCGCAATTACGACTTAGGGCGCTTGTGTCTGCAAGATGCCATTGATGGTTTGAAAAAAAATCCAGCATGGGTATTAAAACAGTTATTGCAAACGCATGCGATATTTGCCAGCAGCGATTGTAATCAACAGATTTTTAATCAATATTACATTGAAGATTATATACGCTATGTAGCCGATAGCAATCGTTGTGGTTCAACGCATTTGTGTCTTTTAGCACGTAATCTGAAAAATGTGCTGCTTGATGTATCGAAGAAGCATTTACGTTTGGAATTGGGAGAAATCGAGACTGAGTTGTTGAAAGAATTGATCACAGACATGCATTTGGGTAATACCTCGACCAGCGAGGACGAAATCGACGATGATACCGATGAAGATATTGACGATGAAGACGATGACGACACCAATGAAGAGAGCGGCACAGAAAGTGGTGAAGATGCTACAGACTCATCATCGACCGCGGCGTCTTCCTCTTCCAGTAGTGATACCGAGCAGAATAGTGTTATCGAACAGTGCAAGGAGGTTGTGAATGTGGCAAAAACTTAAAATTTTGTGGTTTTATTTATTTTTTGTTTTACATACACATATGCATAGGCAAGAACTCAGCGTAACTGGATGCTATGAAAAAAATTTAATATTTATTAAATGTACGTATATGGGTTTTAACATATAGGCGATAAGTGATGCTTGCAAATCAATTGACATTTCCATAATGCATTTTAATAAATATTTCAAATGTACTCTGAGAAACTGTTTTATAATATATATTTAGTTATGTGGAATTGAAGTAAGTATGTTTGTTGACAAACCGTTAAAGAATAAATACTTATACCTAAAAGGTTTATTACTACGGATTTCAAAACTTTAAAGCGTTTTCCCGCAACTCACGTTTTCGAAGTCGGTACCCCTTATAACTTCAAAACTTCTGTACCGTAACTACTTTTGAACGCTATTTCTGTATATAATTTACCAGATAACGTCGGAGAGGGTTTTTTCAAACTTGTTAATGTTTTTCATTTTATAATAACAAATTAACGGATTTTTTCGCAAAAAATTGCGTTTTTTTCTTCAAAGTGTTTTCAAAAAGTGAACGTTGAAATTTCGGAATACATCTTTAGCGTTATTTGGACAAAGCGATTATCTAACAATATAATTTTGACTTTTTGATTTCAGATGAGCCAGCATCGAGTTATGAGGAACTCCGCAATTCAACTTTTTTCCGAGCTGCTCCAGTATAATTTTTTTGCATGAAAATTTACCACCATATTCTACAAGTACAAATGTCATGCTGTAATGTACCATTCGTTTTAAGAAATAGTTTTTAACTGTTGCATTAAACACAAAAATCATATAAATGCGCCTTCTTTTACACGGATTAACCCTACTTGGCCATAATACAAGAAAAAGTATATTCATTGTATATCTGTGTATGTAATTTATCGACTTTATTTATTTCATAAAGTATATATCGCTTATTACAGGCTTTACATATCTCAATATAAACTTAAATCTATATTATAAACTTCGCTCTCTTACGCATGACCAACATGTCTCTACACAAATTGTGCGTTTTCAATATATTTTAACATTTCTTTGCATACATCTGTACATACAAGCAATTATTTAGTTATGAGTATTTATATGCTAACATATTAAATCTATAAAATTTTCAGCAGTTTTTTCTCTCACTAAAAATTGTTTTATTGCAAATAATGTTATTTTTATAATTTACTTAGCGCTTCTGAATGTTTTTTGCGGGGATTGTCATTGGCTATTGCAACTGGATTATGCGAATGGCTCATACAATTTTCGGCTAAAAAAAACTAGCAATATGCATTCGTTTATATGTTTATATGTATATTTTATTTTTATAAGTAATTTCACAATTAATATTATACTTAAATACTTTTCGATAATTACTAGGTATGCATGAGTAAAGCTAAAGTTTATAACGCCATTTTGAAAATCTTTCATATAAGTATACAGAAATAAAGAACAAAGTAATATATTTTATTTCTAATAAATATATATCAATTTTTTTTTTGAAAGAAATTAATACCTTATTGCAAAACGTTTATAATTTAATATGAAATTTTGGAACATTTTAAATGTAGTTTTTTCTTTTAATATAATATATGCAAGCACTGTAAACACCTAATAAACATTTTAATGTCGTATAAGAAGAGAAATTGTAAATAAGGTATCACTTATATAAATTTTCACAAATCAATTTTCAATAAATGAAAAACGTTAATTAAATATTTTTCAATTTCTGTTTTGTAATTTTTTTTTTGGTATTTCAAAAAGGGTTTATTTTAGGCATTTTTATTTCTTTTTATAAAAAAATTCAAAATTAAGAAAATAATTTAATTAAATAATTACCACAAATTACATTAGAAACGTTTTGCTTGGTGTTTGAGCTGTTTTCTTTTATTTTACTTTCTATTTACATACAAAAATATTTTTAAATACGTTACGAGATAATAGCAAGCACTGCTGTTAAGCAAAAAAACAAAAAAATTATACAAAAAATAATTAGTATGAAATATTAAAAACAAAAAACGGAATAAAGCCTTACACTTAAATAATAAAAGGAAAATATTAATTTTGTTTTCATGGCTTTTATAGAATATAAGTATTTTTTTTGTAATACAAGTATTACAAAGTACTACAATTTTTAAGTATTGCTACCATTGCTTCTTACAAAATTCTAACTATTAGATAACTGCATGCCAAAGCGAAAATTCTATTTATTGTTATTCATGAATATGCTTATTTGTTGGCACTGCTTTCATACGAAATTCAAAGAGAACGCACACTTAAGTTTCACATACAGGTAAAAAAAAATAATGATTTCAATTATAATTGACGGCAAAAAGTAATTATAATAAAGGTAATCAAAAAAATATGCATTGAATACAAAATATTTACAAAAGTAATGCAAGTAATTAAACAAAAATAAAGGTATAAAATAAAGGTGTACTAAAAAAAAACTTGATAAAATAATAATGTGAAAAACGTATTCCTAATTTCTAATACAACTAGGATTCGTAATTTTTATTCTGCCTGGCCTTTGGACAGAAACTTCGCACGCAGCTTATGAGCTTAGAAATGCTACAGATCTATAAGTAGAAAGAGTAATAAGTTAGAATAAGGTAAACATTATTAAATAAAAACAGAAAGAGAGAAATAAATTAAACCGCTGAAAATGACACAGTGTCCCACTGAACCGAATATATATATATATATATTTTTTTATAATTAAAAAAAAAAACAATTTATTTCAAAATTTTTTTTATTATACAATATATTAACATTAACACGTATTATGAATAAAAAAAATGTATATATTTCAATCTAAAATTTATGCGATCATCAACGACGTGTTAAAATACACATTATTATATTAATTTCTTATTTTATTTATTTTCATTTACTTTGTTCTACTTTATACTTACTCATTGTCTCCTGCTGTATTTCCACCTTATAAGAAGGATTATCATAGGCTGCATCACTCTTTCGTGGTGGCGTTATAGACGCTGTTTGATGTACTCGTCTCCTAGTTAAAATCAGTAACAGTACAATTGTCGACATAATCGCTAATGCAGCAACTACTGAGACGACTACCAGCGGTCCATAGTAATCTCCGACTGGTTGATCACCGCCAGCACTGGCTGTGAGCAGTTTTCCTGCATTAAAATATTTATTATTAAAAATTATGAAATATATACGTTTTTCAAACCAACGAACAAATTATAAATTTTAAATTAATTTAAAAATATTGTTATTCCAGTCGGGAGATTCAATATTGAAACAAGAAAAGACTTTAACTTCGGTTGCATCGCAACTATAATACCCTTCACAAATACAAAAGATTCTATACAAGAACTTTAATCGGCAGTAATCATTGCTTGGTTCCGATCGTTCAGTTTGTATGGTAGCTATATGCTATAGTGATCCGATATCGGCTGTTCCAACAAATAAGTAGGTTCTTGGTGAGAGATGGGCGGGTGCAAAATTTTATATCGATATCTCAAAAACTGTTGGACTAGTTCGTACGGACGGACGGGCATGGCTAAATTGGCTCAGTTCGTCATGATGATCATTTATATATATTATATATTTTTATGGGGTCTCTAGTATTTCCTTTTAGGTGTTAAAAGCATCGTGGCAAACTTAATATACCCTGTTTAAGGTATAAAAATAATGTTATGGATTTTTAGAAAATGTATTCCAAAACGATTGCATTGACTAAGACGAAAATAAACCGATATAACTCAAAATACTATAAAAAGTAATATTTAATTACCCAGATCCGCAAAGAATATTTGCATCCTTTCGAAAGCATTAAAGACTTTACAATACGAAAGACAATTAAAAATTACTATCTTCTTATTTTTTGCAAGCCAACCAATACTTACCAGTTTTTCCCGGTGTCGCAGGTCCACTTGGCTTTGTCATAAAGTTCACTACATTACTCTTTTTAATGTTGCCATTTGTTAGATACATCTCTAGCCAGAGATGATATTTAGTGCCAGGTTTCAAGTCCATAATCAGTGTACCCGTGGTACTATCACGTTTGGCTACCTTGAAAACGCTCGAATCTTCCTTGCCGGCATCACTCTGGTAGATAGCACGATAAATATTTACATATTTATCTTCCGGATATGGCACACCATTCCATGAGACCTCCACACTCTGCGACTTCACCTTAGTCACATTAACCATAACATCAAAGTTGTAGACATCAACCTTAGGCGCGGTACGCACTTTAATCATATGACCAGCCAAAAGTTCACCACCATGCCCCGCCAATGGTATATAAAATAGGCCAATTTCATAACCAGTATCCGGTTGTAAATTCTCAATTGTATAACTGGTGAGTGTGCGATGCACCAGCGGTGTGGATAAATAAATCTGACCGGTCAGCTCTTTGTAACGCAATTGTATACCATCAATATATTCCAGTTGTTCATCGGCGATCTTCTTCCATGTTAATTGTAACCATGTAGAGTTGGTCTCGCTCACATTCAACTCTGGATCTTCTATATTTTTGAAGACATCCTTGAAGTCTGGACGATAATCTGAGATTTGTGGTGGTGGTGTAATTATGCGATCGGCAGGTGTGGTCACTGTCAAAATCGGACTTGTCGGTTGTGAGTTCAAATCGCGTAAAATAAGTGTAATCTTAATCTTGTACAACGAATTTGGTTCCAATCCGGGAAGATCGAATTCCATTTGCGAAGTAGCAATCAGATCTTCGGGGGGCGCAAAGATTTGTTGCTCCCAATTAGTAGTATCATTGCCGGGACCATTTGTGTAACGCAGCTCGACGCGACCGTGCAGATTGACATAAGTGGGCGGTACGGTGAAAATTATGCGTATGGTACGTGGATCAATGGCTTCCAGATTGAGAACTTCAATGCCGCTTTGCAGATTGTTGAAGCCTAGCGTAAAGAGAACATGAAGGAAAGAAAGAGTAAGTAAATTGTGTTATCGTGAATATATTGTTATAAGTTGTTGCTAGTTTTCAGTGTGGAGATAATTGTCTAAATATTTGAAAGGGCATAATTCAACAACTTGGGTAAATAAATATATGGTATATCGTTTCCTTAGGTAGGAGTTATACTCGATGGTTTTGTGTGGGCATATAATTCATTGTATTCTTACTATTTTCTGTTTGTTGTGTTAACATATCACTATCGATCTCTTTTTATGTTTTGGTGGATGCTTTTAGTTAGTTTAGTATAAGTTTAGTATAGAGTTAAGAAGAGTTAAAGAACAGGTTAAAATTACTTAAAATATTATAATGATTATTTGATGAATTAGTGAACCATGTAATGTTGTGTTATGTAAATCGCATTCAGTAGCTACTTTGAAAGGGTTAATTGAAGGGTAGAGTCAAATAAAATACGAAACCAACTACTATGGTGAGTTAGCGGCTCTAAAGATGCAAGGTTCTCATGCTTAATGTTAATGTAATTGTGCGTGTATGTATGTGAACTATGGCTAAGGCTAGGCTATGAATCAACCTTTTTGACTGGGATGCACTGCGGTCGCAGCAATTGCCGGTAGCACGCCATGTTCGGTGGATTGCGCGGTTAAGCCCACAGCGCTGGTGGTTGCCGCAAAAGTGGTAGAACCACTCGCCGTTTGTTCCGGTGTTTGTTGATGCTGCAGTAAATTGCTATTATTATTAGTATTGCTGTTGCTTGGCACATTCACTGGATGCGCATGAGGATTATGTGGTGGCTGTCCTAGGCCAGGTACTACTGGAAAACCTCCATAAGCCACGGGTTGGCCATCGACAATCGCAATACCATGCGGTGGTGGTGGCGGTGGCAAGCCACTATGCACAATGGGCACATATTGTGGATGCATTGGTGGTTGGCCCGGTTGTTGGTGGTGTATTAGTTGCTGTTGTGGCAACCCACCATTGGCGCCACTCTCATTGCCATGCCCATAGTTTGCTATATAGGCACCCTGTACGGGCGTGTGCTGCAAGTGTTGTAAAATGTGCTCGATGCGCACGTGAGGCGACAAATTGGCTGGTGCACCTTTGAAACCGGGCGGTGAACTAGACGGTCCTCCAGCACCGAGAATGCCCGATGGATGTGCGGCTGGTGGTCCAGCACCTATAATATTAAACAGATCCGATTGACTAGTTGGTGCGGGTGGTTTACCCTGTGCGATGCCATTCGGGCTGATATCGTACGGTTCGTAGGAATTATAGGGATCAAAGCGATCTTTTGGTGGTTGTGCTGGATTGTAAAAGCCATATGGAACATTTTGACCGGCTGTTGGTGGCTGCGGATTGTAGTTTACGACGTTGCCAATACCGCCAGGTCTGCCTAAATGTATAGGTATGAAACCGGGTGGCACGGTGTCGTGTTCATCTTGCGGCTCGTGCACATCGTATTTAACCTCATTTTGCTGCGGTTTGACAATAACTGGTTTCTTGACAAACTTTTCATGCTTATCATGTTTCTCAGGACGTGAATCACCATAAGGCGAAACGTTCTTCGGCGGTTTACCATCGATGGTGGGATAGAATGCGTCACCGGGTCGACCGGAGGGTTTCTCATGTGCTTTACTTGGATATATATCATTTTTGTCATTGGAGACATGTGTCGTTATACTGCCAGTACTATTCGGCTCTTCGGTGGATGACGCTGTTGACAATAATGAAATGCGACAGATAGACAGTTTGTTGTTATGACATTAAACGAGCATGATATTGATGGCATTGACATGTTGTTTATTTACAAGAGAACGATTTTATTTTATGCAATAGATTATCACATGATGTTATTGATTTTTGGTTTTAAGATTTAGAGATTGCGTTTAGATACGTGATATGTAAGTGCACATGTCATTATGAAGCGCATTAGAAGTTACAAATAAAAGAAAAATAAAAATAAAAGATATTAGAATTTATAAAATCAAAATGAGTGATGTAAAGACCACATCAATAACCAATGCAAAGCATAAACTTATAAACATAAAGCTTCGCGAAACTTTTTTTCGTGGAATTGAGTCGGCAAATCGTTGTATGGATTCTGAAGAAACAGTTCTTTTACTTATACTTTGGCTCATAACTCTTCTAACATGACGCAGATATAACTATTTTTAATAGCCACCTAAGCGGTTATTTGGTTTTGAGTGTATTCTAAGTATTTGAGGAATGATTTTGTCATGACTTTGCTATGATAAAACAGAAAAGAAATTTATAATAGTTCTATTTTTATTTAAGTACATTTTAAAAAAGGTTATAACTTTATTTTCAATATACTGATTCTTAATAAATCTGCTTATAGTTTTTCTAAACCGAAAACCTCAACTAAATGTATGTTCGAGCTTCTTCCCGTAATATTGCTCGACAAATAGAGCGTCTAACGAGTTTTTAGCAACTCTTAACCAATTTTTATGAGAGCGTTTCAAGAGCTAATTATAACCAATGTTTAACTCATTTTATTAAAGGTAAAAAAAAATTATATATAGCACTAATTTTAAATTGCAAAGCTCATAATCTTGTAGGAAATCTTCTGATCTACAAAAATGGTCTGTACAATCTTTCGATTAAGTTAAGCGTTTACGAGTTATTCATCATTGCCAGACACCATTTTTGTAGAGCAGTAAGTTTAAATTAGTGCTTTATATATACATATATATATTTGGGTGGGTCCAAAAAACGTACATTTATTTTTTGCCTTGTTACTCTGAAAAGGTCCACTTTAAGAAAGAAAGGAATTGAATGCTCTACAAAAAAAGCCTCTTACAATTTTTCTCGTTAAGCTAACCGTTTAAAAGATATTAACGGTTAAAGTTTGATTATTTTAATATCTTCACAGCAGCTTCTCGAAGCTCTTAAATCAGTTAAAGCTCTTCCTTAGGGAAAATGTTTTTTTTTAGCAATATGCTTTATAAGATTTTGTTTTCAAAATTCAATACCCGAACAAGCAAATGAATTACCAGAATGAACTACATTATTTGCAAACATCGTTCTTGAAAAATAAATACTGTCGCGCTAGGAAGCTCTTATTTCCAACTCTCTGCATATAGACCCAGGTTAATAAAGGGTTCGTTAGCGAAACATATTTAAGAAAGCTTCTTAATTTGGGATAGTCTCTTTAATGAAGTTAAAGGATATAGTAGATTTTTTTTAATTTCCTACTTTTTAAAAGTTAAAGGGTTATGAACTATGGTCTTCGTCGTTTCGATCTTATAAATATATTTTCCAAAGCAGGCCATTACTAAGCAAACAAGTTTCAAATAAATATCCCAATGGAATCTCAAAACACATTTAACTCCTTAACCGTTCGTTATGAACAAAACCCTTCACTTAATTAGTAAAGTGTTAGAAAACCTCACTTTTCATGCAACTAACGTGCCTTAAGTTTATATCCACTTGCAAAATGCGCTTTTAGTGATCACTTTTCTATAAGCCTTCTTCTAATGCAATGTACAGGTGCCTTCTTCATAACCAAGCAAATCTTTACGAATATTTCATATTTACCGCTTAAGTCGTGAATTCCTTCACCATTGAAGGCATGCATGGGCGTTGCCACTGTGGACGATGCTTCATCGCCATTAGCACTACTACCGCTCAGTTTGGGCGTCAATGGCGCGCAGGCCCAATGCTTGCAGCATTCTTCGCCGGGTATGGGTAAAATGCGCGCCAGCGCTAGATGGCAAGGCAAATCGGGTGGCGGTCGAGCAAGCACTGGCGGGCAGGCCGGACGGCATTCTACCTTACTGTTCTCACAATAACAATGCTGTTCACAACCTGTCACACGAAACCAGCACAGTGAACAGGCATGAATGAGCAATGAAAGAGAAAAAATAAAAATAAAAATGTATGTAGTTAGTGTTAATTGCTTGCTGGCAACATTTTATATTAATATATATGTTTTGTGCATATGTGTGTTAGTCTACTCACCAGTCAGATTAGTTGGTATGGGCGACCAATTGTCGAAGGTGTGACCCAAGTAATTGCACGTGCCATTATCCACGCAACGCATTTTTTCCGGACAGCAATTCGGCGCTTTTGCCTCAAAATTTGCCGGTTCCGGTTCCCAACGCAAACAATGCGGATTCATTAGATCCAAACCGAATGTAGATGGACACTGTAGCTTGGCGCAATGTACACCTTCTTGCGTACAAATGCATAATTGTTCACAGCCATCATGGAACTGCTGACCATCGTGATAATGTTGACCCTTATATTCACAATCGGCTGCTTCTTCACCACCACCGGCACCGGATATATCGCGCGCCTCCTCCGAACCATATTGCTCGTCGCCAATCGAATTTTGCGCTGTCGGCGGTGAGGCCGTTTGTTCGTGATCGTCCAGCGTGACATCGCATAACTCCAATTGACAACAGATATCCTTTGGATCCTTCACGTACACGCACTTGTCGAGTCGCGTGTGATTGCGTTCCGGACAACGCGATTTGCAATTCATTACGCCGCCCTCTTCACAATGGCAGATCTGTTCGCAGCCGATTTCGAGACGCTCGCGGAATTTGTACACGCTGCCTTTGTAGTGGCAATCGGGTCGTGGCGCTTGAGCGGAGGCTGCGTGTGGTGTAATGAGGACGTGTGCAAAAGTATAGTATTTTTATTGTTTTTGATTGGATATGTCAGCCGTAGGTGGCGTGTTGTGCGTTTGATTTTATTTGAGATTTGTCGTTTTTATTGTTGATGAATTAAGCGCATTTTTGTGGTTTCACAAGTGTTTTTCATTTTGTTTTTGTTTTATAGCAAATGAAATGAGAAGAACAAACAAAGCTTGTATAAGCAAAATGAGGCAAATAATTCATATGATATAATGAGATTTGTAAGTTATTGCAGTTTTTTCTTATTTTTTTACTTGTTTTGGTATTTCTTATTGCATGGCCTTCCCAAGCTGTGGTAACAATGCGCTGTTTGTTGATGAACTTAGATATGTGTTTTTTGTTTTTTTTTTTGTTTTTTGTATTTGTTAGTCTTGCGCAAATTGTTATATTACTAAAGCAGGTGATTATCATTAATTTTTAGTATTCTAATAAAGAGCAGATGCAGTGAATCTCTGTGAGCACGCAAGTACTTTCCTAAATCAACAATTTCACTGTTTTAATGAAATGGATGGTTTGAAACGGTTTATGCAATATGCTTTTAGAAAATTGCTGAACTAATATAAAATTTCCCTTTCTTTCATTTATGCCTTCGCTTTATATAATTTTGAGACAATTGAAATTTGTATTTAACTTTCTTCCGTTTCAATTAGTGATTTATTATTTCGTTTTCAATTAATGAATTTTTTCTTAAAAAATATATCTGGTGTTGAAAACCTCAAACGATTTTTATTAAAAAACTTTAACAATGAAAGTAAGTATGTTTTATTTTGCAGAACATTATGTCCACTAAAAAAATTATGAAATTATTCTAATTTAATGTTTACTGTGGTAACAAACAACAAATGTTTTACATCGCGTGAAGTTTGTATTTCACTTTTCTACTTTCCGATAAGTTTTTACTCTGCAACTTCAACTTCAAAATGCTTTGTAACACAAGAAAAAAAAGGTAAAAATAATATACCTTAAGAAGCTATGAAAGTGATATGATTACAAAACTGCAAAGACAGCCACGCCTAATATAAAGTGTTTTTATTCGAACAAAAAACAAAAAAAAATTCCCATTCTCCTCATCAGTCAAATACAACAGTTCTTTAACAGACTTACCATTCAGTCCACCTTCAGCATTCAATTCTGATGCACCCATTGTGGGCAATAGACCGCATTCCATGGTCGCACAACATTCATCCACAGCCACCTGCTGACAGTGAGTCACATCCATATGTGGTGCACCGCCAACCAGTTTGAATGTATTACCCATGCAACGGGGTTCACAAATCCATTCGCCGCGATTGCATGTGCAACGCTCATCGCAGCCGCGATTCATTGTTTCGCCATTCTGCAAAGTAAGAAAAGAAAAGATTTTATGAAGTGCTTTTATGTAGAGAATAGTTAGGAATTAAAAATATAATATTATATGATAAATTGATAAATAGAAAAGTTGTAGACTTTTTGAATAAAATCTAATGAGTACGATGTACATATATTTATTTCTTCTAGTTAATGTATTCAGTGTCTTATGGGTCTAAGGCGAGAACTAGCTATTGATACTTTGTTTGTTAGTGAAATGTAGACCATACATTTGCCAAAAAAAAAGAAAAAAAAATCTTGAAATATATAACATAGCATATGTGAATTTCGGAACCAGTTTTCTTAGTAAAAAAGTATTATGGCTTTTAAACAAGATATATCGTTCAAAACTTCCAATTAATTTCCAATAACTTGAGGTCGAACCAGTATAATTATTTGGCATAGTAGACCCCATGCCCATTTTGCTCTTCTTTAGATAGACGTGTGATAGATAGTGATGATTATAATCATCATAGATAGATAGTGTGATCTACACGGTTGCGCTTGCTATCGTAAAGGAGCAAACGTGGCGCCCAACGCATCGACAGCTTTTTTATGCCTAATATTTCACGCAGTATACAATCCATGCGATCTTTTGAGATCTCTGCTGATTTAACTATCTCCCGAACTGTCAATACAAGATCCTGGACGATTGTCACGTTATCTGCCATGGTAGCCGTTTACGGCGCGCTTGGATGTATCTCATCATTATCGGCCTGCGACCGGGTTGAAACTTTTTAAACCAATTCGATTGACAATCGCCTTCGAAGAAGAATAGCTACCATATACAGTACGCAATTCAGACTGCTATTCCATTTATCTTTCTTTATTGTTCTAAAATCTGCGAACACACCCGCTTCCATACGGATATGAATAGATATAAAGATAAACGTTGTCAACCATAGACAAAAAAAAAAAATTAATAATAATAATTAAACATAAATAACGCACAGATTAAAAATAAAATAAAGGCAATTTCTTCTAATACATAAAATATTGTAAATCCATAATACATTCGCTAATTATTAACCATTAATTATTTAATATCCGCCTTCAATAATCCAGGTAACACTGTATGCAGCAATAATAATTTCACACATAACACAGCAACAATAGAACAGCAATACAGTTACACAACACATTAGTATGTATATTGTATATATATATATACATATTGTAGGCGCTTTAAGCCGTTATGTTGGTTGACTCAACAACCATACGTCAATCGCCATTCTTATACTTTGCCAATCAATTCATTATGAACGCAATTGAAAAGCGGTTGTATTGCGTTAATATTTACTCATTTAATTGAAAACGTATATACACATACCTATGTATATGTGTATATGTATGTATGTACATATAATGACTTTTGTATATATAATGCGATTTTCGTTATATTTATGCACATTACTCACTTTGTTTGCGGCTGGCTAATAAGGAAATACCTTAAAAGGTTTCTGTTGAATTAGACTAGTCAAAGTACCGGGGCAAAATTGTTATAAGCAGCAAGTTTCTTGCTTAAATCTTTTGTGTGGTTTGTTCAATATTTTATTTGATATTCATTAAATTATTAAGTGAAAAATTGATTCTTAAAATAAAAAAATTAATTCAGAATTTATCTTAATTATATATATTTGATAAAATAATTTTATTACTATAAATTTATTTTGCTTTCAAATTTAATTAAACCTTATTAAATTCAGTTTTATTTCCTCGGACGTTCATTCTCTATCCTATCTTGAGCTCATTATAAAGCTTTGTTTCAATGATAGGATATATTTGCATGACTGCTTGGAATGTTTCTGGTTCTGACATTGTATTTGTAGTAATATAAATATATATATTCAGTAAATAAACGCTTCTTGTATACAATCAAATATATTTAAGCCACATAAATAGAGAATTTGTGCGAACGTTACCACTTAATATTAAGCTTTTTGAGTTAATAAGTTCTTTACATAGGCTGCACTAAATCTTAACTCAAAAATACATTTCAAAAAAATAAAAATATGAAAAGTGGTTGCTTTTGACATTTATTATTTAAGATCAAGTGCAAATAAATATAAATATATGTATGGCTAAGTAAATAAAGTCATATGCTGACATGTAGTGTAAGAATGTGAAACAATTAAGGGACGAAACCGAAACAACTGTCAATTGACGATGCACTATGCGACTATATAAAGTTGGTAGTTAGAGTATGGTATGTCGAAAGCTTGCAGAATCAGTCTTCTATCAGTAACTTTATTGCAACTCAGTATATTTGCTATTGCTTATCAATTAATTATGTTGTAGGCGCGCTAAAAATCGGCAAATACTAATGGATGGTTTGCAACTATCTGCCAAAAGTTTGCTTTTTTTGATAGGCCATCCAAGAAAATTAATTCGGCAGTATATATAAATTCTCTTAGATAAATACCAATAGTTCCTCATTGATTATAAAATATTTATCTCTCCGCGAGCACTGACATTTAAAGAGACGATTCTCATTCGAGCTTTATTTTTTAGTAAAGTATTTTTTTTATAAATAGTATTTTTGTAGTAGAGTTGAACCGCTGAACAGAATATTTTTAAATTTTTTAAACTATTTTTGCATCAATTAAAAGGAGGATAACATGACGTTGGTGGGCTAAATGTTCACTTTGAAATGATTTACAAATTCTTAAGGTTTATAACTTATATTTTATTTATTTTTTTACTTGCTTAATTTGTTGGAAAGTGGAGCAACAGCAAGATATATAGATAATGGCAAGGCGCGCAAATATTTACAGCTGCACGTAGAGCCGCTGTTATTGCCGCCTTAGTGACTGCAGCAGCTGCGGATTGGTGTGGTAAATGTGTGTGCTGGTTTGCTTGTCATTTCAACAATTTACCAAAAGCAAACTTGATCTCTTTTAGCAATCTGCAGCCACTACTGTTCGCTTAAAATTTACTCAACAAATTTCGTTGAAAAGCGGAAATTTTTGTGAATTTAATTTTCGAAACGACTTTCTTTGCATTTTTTCGAAGGTTGTCTAGTCGCGCCCGATTCCGCTTTTGCCGGAGAGAAAACTTGTCTTCGCCAATTTACCTAGCAAACATTTAACCATTTACAGACATACACATTCACAGATGCACATAAAAACACATTTACATACTGACAATGCAAATATGTATTTGATTTTGATTTCCGTAATTGTGTTACAACTACCGGCATCGGGAAACAAATCGCTAGATGAGTTTGGTGAAGCCAATAGAAAGATGTATATGCATATAAGTAATGGTCGGGGATGGAGTAATTTGTATGATAAATTTTTTTAGTGCCGGAAACAAATCTATTTATATAATATATATATAATTTTATAATTATATTTATATAAATACCTAGGCTATACAAGAAAAACTAAAAATAACGATTTTTGTCTGAACATAGTCTTCTTTTAGCTCAACACACTTTGCCCAGAAATGCTTGCAAGTTAATGCTTTTCTTTATGGAGGTCTGCTTTACGCCACAGGGGTGACGACAAACTTTCAAGTGATTTTTCGAGATACGTTTTTAAGTTTGGAAGCAACAGCTAGTAGCATGGGGCTAAATCTGGAGAATGCGTTGGATGTGCAAGCAGTCCGTAGTATAATTCGAGCCATTAGGGCATGGCGAGGACGAAGTTGTGAGCACGGTGGATATACGCATTCCGACTGATGATACGGTCTTCGCCTTCTTTGGAGCAGGTTGTAATATATTCAAAAATATTCTTATTTATATACTTGTACTATCTAAAGTAATAAATATAATGGTATTAAGAATTTGATAATCAGTACCCCCAGATACCACACGCATAAATCACAACAATTTATGCCAAAGGTGTAACAGGTGTAAACAATAGAAAATGAGTAAGACATCACAGAGAAAATTAGCCATTTAAGGTCAACACTTTCGCAATGCCACGCCCATTAGCAGTCATTTAACCAACCACTTGACTATGCAAAAGCTATTTCGCATTGCGTCGCCATCAAGCCCAGCCAGCAATAACAACAAATGCACAAAAGCACATGTTAGGCGCTGAGTAGCATGCGGCAACTGTAGCGACGCTTGTGTGGCATGCGGAATGCGGTGGTCGGCAAGCAGATTGTGGCATGTGCATGTCCAGCAGCACACAGCTATTGACACGAAATGCGTCACGAAGCGACTGAATGCTTCACTGCCGTTTAAGTGGGCAAACAACACGACAATAAATGAAAATATTTGCAGACCATTTTGAAAAGTGAAAGTAAAATTCGATTTTAAAATTGCGTTTTCTCGTTTTTCGTTTTCATTAGCTGAGCCAACGGAGACAACGGATTCAACGTATATGTAAAGGTATCAATGAAAGTGCAAAATAAAATGCAAAAGTCAAAAGACGGATAGCGAAACGAAAATTAAGTATGAGTATACATATGTGCAAACGCACGCGTATGTATAAGTGCACACATGACAGTAGTATGAGTATGTGTGTTTGTTTGTATGCTTGTAAGCGTTTACGGCAAGCAGACTGTGCAGGTAAAAACCCGTGTTGATGACGGGCTGACAGCTATGCAATGCTTTAATGAGTACCGGCCGGCAACACACACACATACACCAGAGTGCACTCAAATACCGTATATACACAGAGGCTTACAACAGCAAGCGTATTGCTGCCGGTACTGGTCTGTCGGTTATGTTGGGTGCGCGTGGCGCTTCGTACCATTTGGTGGCAGCTCAATTTCTGTAAACTGTAAGAGCATTGTAAATATAATAACTAAAATTTTAACGAAAAGTATGAATGGTTGGCGACAACGTAAGTGGATATTGAAATTTCGATTGCATAAAAGCGAATTTAATACGCGTATCATATATAGGCGACAGCGCATGCACTTTCTTAATATGAAATTTCATAATTTCATAAACAAAAAGCTCAGCTGACTTCGTTCAAACTAACTTATGTTAAAAAAATATACCTGAATTTTTCTTCTTCTTATTGATTGGCGCCTGAAATTTTAGGAATTTTGCACGAGTTATAGCGGAGCCTTTCCTCTGTTACCACAAACTTTTTACCATTTTGTGTACCATACTTTCAGAGCTTGGATGTAGTCTTTACATCCATACGTATAATCTGTAAGAGTCCGTGTAGTTCCAAATGTTTTGATTCGTATAACGTCTAACGTCTGATCTAATATAATATACGATATATATATTTCTAATCATAAAAATTCTTTAAAAAAAATATTGTTCTCGAAACCTCCAAAAGTTTAGTTTTTGTCTGAGTTCTCCAAACCACCTATAGGATTACGTTATGTACTACTTTCAAACTACACTAACTTCGGTGTAGTAAGAAGGATAATAGGCGGTTAGCCTATTAGCCAGCCATTTTCATTAAAACATGTGTGTATCATATATCGATCCGTAAGATTTCCCGACAATGTATTTAGTGCATTTATTCTTATCGAACAGCAAATTTTAACATTTTGAAGACTTCAGTCCACATGGGAGCTATTACACGCTATAGCTAGTATCAACAGGGTCGTATTTTAACCAAAACAAATTCCAAAAATATTTTTAAAATTATCTCTAATGCTAACAATGCCATACTAACTACTAAATTTTTGAAATGATTGTGCTTTTCTCAAAAGATATCAGCCGTAAAATGATAATAAAGCTAGACGTAGCTTAATTTTTCAGATAAGCTCCCTAGGTTAAGTTAGGTTAGATATAGAGACACAAAAGCAACTAAAAATGTATCTAAACTCTTCATATATGTATGGATAAAGTGCCTTAAGCGGAAATAAATTTGTTAGTGCTTCCATTACAGTTAGTTTGACTATACGATTAACCTGTGCAAAATTTCTAATCAGAGTAAAGCTGTTTATCCAACCTCGGACATTGCCTTTTATCATTCCAAATTCAGGTACCATAAAAAGAAAGCGGAGTCTCTAAAACCTCACCTGGGCGGTAGTTTTGTTGCAACATATTGAACAATTCAAACCAAGGCAGTTACCTATTTCCTGTTTAAGATATTAAGAGCACTAATTAAGATTGAAGTGTTTCGGAGAAAAATAGCGAATTAGTTGGAGTTCAGTTTGATTGTTATAGTGGACTGATAAAATACTATATTCCAAGCAGATAAATATCAAATAGATTTACTGATAGACAAATGCCACTTGTAAATTCATATCAAATGGTTTGTTCTAAAATTGATTATGCTTCTGACTCAAAGTTCCTATAATGAATTGAGAACTAATATATCAACTTTAAAGCGATAGTAAGTAAAGTATAAAATTTATTGCTGCTGCATGTAATAGTAAATATGACATTTTAATTAGTAATAGATACAGTTAATTACATCTTGAAAAGGGTATATAAAGTTAACCACGCTGTTTCGAAAATCCAGCAGGAATCGTCGGAGACCCTATATCGAACTGAAATTTTGCACACGGCCTTTTCTCTTAAAAAAACAGCTGATTTGTTGAAACTGCCGATATTGGAGCATTATAACATTTAGCTGCCATACAAACTGAACGATCAGAATCAAGTTCTTGTATGGAAAACTTTTATAATAATTGACGATATATCTTCACGTTATTTGATATGAATTATTGTCTAAAGCAACGGTATAATCTCCGAAGAAATACTATAGCATATAGCAGTTATACAAACTAATCGATCCAAATCATGTTGTTGTATGGAAAACTTTGTCGTTTGAAAATATGTCTTTATAAACTTTTGCATAGATTTTTGTCCAAATAAGCTCTTCAGTCTTCGTAGAAATTGTTCAGATCGGACCATTATAGCATATAGCTCCCATACAAACTGATCAATGAAAATCAAGTTCTTGTATGGAATCATTTGTATTTGCGTTTTGTCTTTTCTTCTTCTCTTTTTTTGTTTTTTTTTGTTACAAAACGATAACGATTTTTAAGACAGTTTTTCGTGTTATTTGAAAGAGACCGTCACAATAAAAAAGCGGTGTTTGGCAAGCCAAATCACTTCTCTACATACACCAAAATAAAAAAAATTGTTACGTAATTTATTAAGTGCATAAATTACTGCAAAAAAAGAAAGAAAATATCGTCAAAATAAACCTGCTCATTTATGTTTTTAGCGTGTCTCCGTTTTTTTTTTGTGCTGCGCGCGAAGAAAGTGAAAAATCTTGTTAAACGAAGCGCCACAGAAATCTGGTTTACGAAATCGTGAGCAGATTGTGAAACGTCAAGTTGTTTATTGGACCTATTTACTTATTACAATAAGTAAAACGCTATTGTTTTATCGATTGGTGCCTCCATACGTGCATTGATTAGTAATGCGACCAAATGGAGCGGTGGTAGAGTAAAAAACTGCCGGATAAACAGGGCAAAATAATGAAACAAAAAAAGCTATTACATAATTTGTGTGTAACACAGTAGTACGCACTTGAGATAAGTAAAAGAATCAAGCATTTTTCACACGTTTTCTAAGTATGCTTATGCATTATATGTAGGCTTTGGTATATAAATATATGTAGATATGTAAAAACATATGTATAGATGTTAATTAAACTTTGATATTCCTACGCCCCTAACATAAAGATACAGCTTTTGTTGTTGTTGCAAACACCTATTTACAACAAACGACAGTTTAACCTAAGCCATACGAGTGTACGCTTAACACGGATTTATTATGTATACACACATATACACATATATGCAACACTTACCTTGTACATTCTGTCATCGCTGCCGGTGCAGTCTTGATGCATGGCGGCCGCGCCCACTATCGCTGATGTAACCTCAGTGATCTTCAACTGATGTTCATGTTCATCTTGTTGTTGTTGCAACTCTTTATTGGCGCTATGATTGTTTGGGTTGTGTGCCATAGGCTGATTTGCTTTGTATTGTTGCTGTTGTTCGTAGGTGTTGTGCGTCATATCCATTTGATCGTCATCATCCATACTGATATCGCTCAAGTCAACCAAAGCACCACTCTTATGTGCAACACTATTATTGTTGGTGTTGTTGTTGCTATCGCGTTCCGTGGTCACAAAGTTGTGGTAATGATAGTTCAATGGTACATCGTCGTTCTCCGCCGAAATGCTATCGCCCACAGAGCGGCCTTCGCCATGATAGAAGAAATGTTGTGGGAATGGTGTTGATGGTGAGTCGTCATGGTTATTATGCATTTCAGCACTGTTGTTGCTTTCCATATTGTTGCTGGCTATTTTTGTTGGCGCTGTTTGTACGGCCATATGATCGTGCGTATGAATATGATCGTGAGACTGTCCTTCAACGACCGGCACCACAATTGATTCTTCATTGACGTTAGATTTTGTTGTTGTTGTTGTGGGCACTTCTTCTTTAACATCTTCGTGCACAATATTCATTGCGCGTCCACGTTCCTCATTTGTCGTGTTCAATTCAGTCATTGTTGGCACAAAAATCGTTTTACTCTCTTCGGTGTTGATCATTTTCTCAACATTCTCTGCAGCTGATTTGGTTGTCATCTCGCTCGCAACGGCTGCGGCCGCTTCTGTCGAACTACTCATGTCTTCGGAGATTAATTTAAAATCTTCCTGCTCCGACAAGCGCTCGTGTTGCTCGGAGAGTATATGCGCATGATAGGGATCGTCTTCGTGTTGTGTCGCAGTTGCGTCACCAGCAGCACCTGTAGCTGTGCTATCACTTTCGTTTTCTTTCTGCATTGCTGCAGCCATCATGGCGGCCATCATCGATTCATCGCTATTGCTGGCGGTGATCAAAGTTGCCGGATGACGGAAATTATTCAGATCCTTGTCCTCTTCGAATTCATGTGATATCTGGTTAATCAACACTTCAGCGGGCGCTTGTATAATCTTCTCTTCACTGTGTGCGTCATGTTCGTCCACTCTAATCTTGGTAACGCCAACAGGCTGTAAATCTAACGGTTGATTGGGTTCTTTATTTTCGGCAAAAATGTCATTCGAAGTTGAGGATATCACATGCTCCGTCGAGTGCTCTTCATCAATGTGATCATGTGTCGTATGTTCAACATGCGCAACATCATGATAAGTGTGATCTTCGTCATCACTATGTACGTGCTCGTAATCATGTGCGTGCTCGTGTTCGTGTGCATTATCGTGTCCATGGTGTCCGTGTATATGTTGTATATGTTCTGCATCATATTTTGTCAAGTGTGTGTGATTGTGATTGTGCTCAGCCTTCTCCTCTTCGATAATCTGATGCGCATGCTCGGCCAATACATGTGGTACTATAATTGCTTCATTCCGTTCAGGCGTTGCGCTAGTCGTTGTTGTTGTTATTGTTTGATGCGCATTAATGTCGCTATCATGTTCTTTATGCTCCTTTGCCTGCCGCTCGCTGCTATACTCATAAGTGGGCGTGGTTGTTGGCTCGGTTGTGCCGATAGGTTCTATTGTGGTCACCGGCAAGCCAGATGGTGGCGCAGGTGCACTATTGTTGGTGGTCGCAGTGCTTGGCGCAGCTGAATCGTCATGCTGCGCCGATAATGTCGTTTCTGCACCAGAATGTGGTACCTCTGTTGATGATGCTCCTGTCGAACTGACGGCAGTATCTGGAAAGAAAAAGTAATTATTAATTTAGTTGCTTTTCATCGAAAGAAAATTCTTCTTCAAAATTATGCAAACATTTTAAATATGTGATCTGACGATCTATCGCAACTATCAGCAGTTATTGGGAGAGGTAATATTATAGGCAAGCGATAAAATATCAGATATATTGCATTTAAGCCTAGTAAGTGCTCTGGAAAATATTCACCAAAAAGTACCGCTTGATTTCTGATCAAATGATCAAAGTTTTATTTAGAACCTGTAACAATCAACCGATACGTAAGAACTACTTTACTCTTGAGTAATTGATCGACGTCGTCTTTATAATACCCCCCCTAACTGAGTTCATTGGCGTGATTACTACTTGAAGGATGGTGAGTTCAAATTTTATAAGCGGTAGACTCCCAAAAGACAATATAAAACCTTAAAGATTATTTCTGTTTTAAAACTGAAGGTATACTTAGCAATCTTTTTAAATGCATATGTGACGAAGTCCACTTGTAAATATTTGTATATAGTATACCGATATATATATATATATAGTTTAGTAAACCAACATATTTTCTCCAAAAATGATGGTTACAAATGTGAAATGGAATAATTAATTGTTCATGCTAGGGGAAATTACAGATTATTCAATGTTGTAGACCAACAGCATATATTGAACGGAAGTTAAAGGTCAAATTAAAGACAGCGAAAACATTATAAATGTATATACCATATATATATATATATATATATATAGATTAGGGTGAAGCGAAAAATTTTTTTTTTTGGCTTAGCCTGAGGGTAAAATTTTTAGATTATAAAAAAAAAAAATTTTTGGAAAAAAATGTTTATATAAAAATTACCGGATTTGACGGTTTTTGACTCAAATTTTATTTTAACGCTTAAGGAGGCATGTTGTCGTTTAAGACTATTTTTTAAAACTCTAATAATGACCCCAAAATTTTTGATAGTTGATAGCTTTTATATGGCCAGAAAGAGGACTATCCACAGCTTCTAGAACACCTATCAAAAGTTTTTTACGAAATAAAAATTTTAACTCGAAATTTACTTTAAGAATGAGAGGGCCGCCACTAGATGTTAAAAAATATGTTTACAAAAATTTTCTTCTTTTATAATTTACAAATTTTACCCTGAGGATAAGCAAAAAAATATTTTTTTTTCACTCCATCCTAATATACATATATATCTATGTATGTATGTAAGAAATTATTTAGTCCAATTGTTCAGAGAAAACTGTGTAAGTTGCATGGGTCGCTAGACAGATTTGACAGAGCATTAAAAAAAAAACAATAACAATTTTTTTATGGTAGTAATAGAAGGATTTATATGGATCAAGCCTCTCTAAAGAAAATTTACTGGACGTTTTTAGTTTGGACTTTTTAGTTAGCAGAAACAAGTATCTGATCAAAGCGATTCTTCAAGAAACACTGCTCTAAGCGGTCTGTAATTAGCAAAATATTAATACCTAGTAATTTAATTATCGTCAAATATTTTAATTCACATAAAAAGTATTAAAAACTATATTTAATTGTTTAGAAAATATTTTTATGAAACCAAAACAAAATTGCATTTCATTTTGTAAAAGATTTTTCTTTATTTTTTCAGTCATTAAATATCCGATAATATCAAAATCCAACGCGCAAATAATTAATTACCTTTCATGCTAGCAAACACACTAAATGAAAAGCAACAAGAATAAAATCCAAATGCGTAAATTACATACTATACACATAATATATACAATACATACATACATACTCATGTCTATGTTTTACGAATTTTTCTAAAGTGAGAAGCGTGTTTGGAACGTGCTTTTAACACATCCGCTGAGTGGGCACGACACAAGTACCGGCACATATATAATATATATATATAATAGTATATAAGTATATAAAATACGTTTAATTGCACTATTGGTGCCATGAGGGTTTCGGTTTAACACAATATGCAATGAAATAAAATTAATGAAATAAATAGAAGCGTTAAACTTTTTCATTGAGAATAATTTGAAATAAAATCAAAACTGAAATCACAATTAAATTACAATGAAGCTCTTCTGAGAAAACGTCATAAAAACGTATTATTATCTATGTTTGTTTTAGAAAGGTTAATCAGGTAGAATTTGTTGTCACATATTCACATTTAATTGTTATTTTTAACTTTTATAATCGCTGATAAACTCAAAAATTATTTACATATACTTAAACATGATTATTTCTAGTAGAATTTTTATTTTTCTCTCTTGAACGTGACGACAAGATTAAAAACTGATATGAGCACTTTTGAAAAACGTGTAAAGATCAGAAGAATAGAGAGAAATAGAGAAAAATATGCATTCGTTATGTTTGGCAGATAAAACATTGAGCAGAACAAGATGAAAAACTACTTGGGCTAGTGGCAACAGTAACTGAAAATCCGGTTAGCTTTCCGAAAACCTTTTTAAGTGATAAATAATTATATCCTAAACAGGGTATATTATTTTGTCACGATGTTTGGAGTGCCTTTAAAGTATATATGTATATAAATGATCAGCGTCAAGTTGAGTCGATTTAGCCATCTCTGTCTATCTATTCGTCTGTATTAAAGCTAACTACTCCCTAAGTTTTTGAGATATCGATCTAAAATATTGCACACTTCTTTTTCTCCTCAAGACGCTGCCTTATTGCCGGAACCGCCGATATCGAACAACTATAGCATATAGCTGCCATACAAACTGACCGATCCCACTCAAGTCCTTGTATGAAACATTTTTTTATTTGACAAGATATCCTCCAGAAATTTTGCATGGATTACTATCCAAGGCATTGCTAATATTTTCGTCGAAATTGTACAGATCGTGCAACTATTGCATATAGCTGTCATACAAACTCACCGAACGAGCTCAAGCCGTTGTATGGAATACTTTTTTATTTGACAAGCTATATTTGGGAAAGATTATTGACTAAAGCAGCAATTTTTTTATGAATCAAATTATTTTATAAAAACATGCATATTTCAGGCAAGATTTCTAAAGTTCATACCCTCGATCGTTAAAAAGACTATTGCCGCCATGACTTAAAGATTACTTTACTTTGTATAATTTTATTTCTAAAATTATTCTACTTTGTTTGTTTGTTTCACTGTTTTTTGCCAATTTTTTTTTTATCATTTTGTATCTTTTTCCAAATAACACTACAAAACGGTTAGTTTCAAATCCTCAATTACGTGCCAATCGGCGAAGCGGCTTAAGCGCTATAGCGTGACGCATAGTACCTTAGAAGCCAGTAAACAAAAAAGTTATTTTAAGTTATGAGCTTAAGCAGAAAAGGTAAGCAATGACAATGCCATTAGAAGACACGGTGTCCATCAAATAAAATTAAATGCTAAATACATATTTTGTCGAATTTACAGCTAAATTTCGCTTTGCGAATTCGAAAAGGTAAAGGATGGCATAGAAGAGATTAACGGCAAAGTAGCAGCTTAGAAGAGCTTAAATATGCGAACAGCAGCAAAAGAGCAACAAACAATGGCGTTTATGAAAAAGTCTTCTATATAGTATATTTGAGATTGTGACAAAGTGATAGTTAGCTTTCTTCGAATGAGGTTATTATTGGGACTTTGTGGTAAAGTATAATGCGCAGTAATATTTATTAAGCACCGTTTTGTAAGCCTGAGATGGAATGAAGTTGCATGTACTCATATATATAAGCAATAAGTATTACATACTTAACTGTGTTTGAGTTTTATGTGTGTAATCACCTAAGTTTTTCGCTTTACTGTGTTCTTTTCTAATTTCATGCACGAATTATTGGAGAAAAGTTGACATACCTTTATATTATTAATAAATATTTATGATATAAATGTGTTGAGACTAAACGTACTAAGCATTAATTAATATTATAATATAGATAATGAATAAGTTGAGATGACCTTCTAATGAAATTCATTAAATGTTTTTGCAATGAACATTTTTAATACATTTAGATAGCATTAAAATTATGTTAACTTGTTTCGTCATAAAAAAACAAGAAAAAGTGTTAGCTTCGGTTGCACCGAAGCCACAAAACCTGTCACCAATACAAAAGATTGCATACAAGAACTTGATTTTGATTGGTGATTTTGTATGACAGTTATATGCTATAATGGTTCTATCTGAAAAAGTTCTTCAGAAAATATACATATTTCTGCTTTGCACACTAATCCTTGCCAAGCTTTGAGCTTGTTCGTTCAGTTTGTATGGCAGCTATATGCTATAGTGGTCCGGTATCAGTGGTTCCAACAAATTAGTAGTTTCTTGAGAAGGTGTTAGTTTGTTTAAAAACCTGAGGCGCGAGTTCGCGTACATAATGTTAGAAGATTTCGTATGAGTCATTCTGTGAAGTTCTTAGAACAGCTTTAAAATATAATAATCTGTAGATTAAAAAAAAAGTAGATTATATATAAACAACTGCATCTAAAACAAGCGTGTTGGTGTTATAAATAACACTTGGCAGTAAAAATTTGCCGCCAGCCCTAAATCAAAAGCAGTTCCTATCTCAAAACTAAAGGAATGTGTGTGAATATGTTACATCACATATGCAAGTTTATTATATGTATAATATATATAGTATGTATATATTGTATATATTTATGCCTTTGTGGAGCCTAAAGCTTTTATATTTTTTTTTTTATTTGGTATATGTATATGTGTCTTCTAGAGGGCGCTACCAAGAAAATATATTTTAGGGTATGCTTGAACCTGAAATTCGTTTGTCGTCTATTACTACGGGGCTAATGGCTGATCATTAGTTATAAGCACAATTATATAGCCTGCTGTTGAATAAGCAACTAAACTTCTCATATATATATATACACACACACATATTTATTGATAACGTAATGGATGTGTATGGGTATTAATTAGGCGTTTATACAAGAATTATGGCGCATACAAAATAAAGATTAAAATAATGATTAATAAACAAAAAAACAATAACAACAATGCGACTGAGAAATAATTAAAATGAAAAAAAAATTA